AAAGGCAAACATTTAAACTCTTTTTGCTTTCATGGCAAACTTTTGACATCTATTTCCACTCAAGGCAAACATTTAAAATCTATTTGCTTTCATGGCAAACTTTTGACACCTATTTCCACTCAAGGCAAACATTTAAAATCTATTTGCTTTCATGGGAAACTTTGACACCTATTTCTACTGAAGGGAAACATTTAACATCTATTTGCTTTCATGGGGAATTTTGATACATATTTCCACTCAAGGCAAACATTTAAAATCTTTTTGCTTTCATGGCAAACTTTTGACACCTATTTCCACTCAAGGCAAACATTTAACATCTATTTGCTTTCATGGCAAATTATTGACACCTATTTCCACTCAAGGCAAACATTTAACATCTATTTGCTTTCATGGCAAACTTTTGACACCTATTTGCATCCTACTTCTTTAAGAGGCATTTAAAGGTTGCAGTACTAAGTAAGGACACGAAATGTGGATGAGCAACGTCTGCGACGAGGAGCGACGTTGTTGTGTAGATTCTTACACTATCCATCACTGGCTTAATAATGGTATGAAATTGTAATAATAGGAGTCCATTTTGCCAATACGTTATCATGGTATCATCATGGTAATAGTGCTGCTTTACAGGGACGGAAGGTTTTTATGGGCATTTACAGTAATTTAAAGAAATTGGGCAATGTAAATTTCAAAACATATTTCAAAATATTTGATACAAAAATTAAACCAATTTTGCTATATGGGGCAGAAGTTTGGGGGTTTTCTCGGTTGGAAGCATTGGAAAAGGTTCACTTGTACGCGTGTAAAAAAGTCTTAGGAGTTAAATTAAATACCCCAAATGTGATGATCTATGGTGAATGCGGTCGCTTCCCACTTTATCTAGAAGCACAGATAAAAGTTATCAAATACTGGGTAAAGCTCTTGAGTATGCCTGCATCAAGATTTCCTAAGATATGTTATAACATGATGTATTTGTTTGACACCAACGGAAAATAAAATTGGGTGACGAATGTTAGAAATTTACTAAATCATTGTGGTTTTAGTGATGTAATTTTGTCACAAAAGATTACCTACCCAAAGTCATTTTATAATGCTTTATCGCAAAGATTAAAAGATATGTACATTCAGACCTGGAACTCATCTACAGTCGCCCAAATCCACTTTTTACAGTACTTTGAAATCTTTTTTCCATACAGAGCAATACCTACACGATATTAATCTTAGAAAATTCCACGTTTCATTATCCAGATTTAGATGCTCTTCACATGATCTTATGATCGGGAAGGGCAGATATTATAATATTCCAAGAGAAGACAGATTGTGCAAATTTTGTTCACTAAATGTAATTGAAGATGAATTCCACTTTTTGCTGGTATGTCCTAACTATGCTGATTTAAGGACAAAATATCTACCACAATATTACTATTCACACACTACCATGTTTAAATTTAATTTGATAATGAACTCTAATAATACAACTTATATTCGTAAACTTGGTATGTATATCCACCATGCTTTTGAACAAAGAAAATAACGTTGCAAACATTTTGATTGTATGCCATTATTGTTTTTATATTTTGTACTATAGGCCTGTGGCCTCTTCAGTAATGGAATAAAGAGATTTGATTTGAATAACGAAGTTGTTCATCCATAGAACTTATCCTTACTTATTTGCATTCAAGGTAAACACTTGACGTCTATGTTCCACGGCTGTTCCTCTCAGTAATTGATACTAAATTACTTTGGAAACAAATGGATTATTAATCGTGTGAATGTCCGTTAGAGGGTTCCGCCCCATTTATCCGACACACCTGGCTTGTTAGTATCCACAGTTGAGATCAACGATTAGTTTGTCTAGATACTATCTGAATAGCGGCAGGAAATTACCCTAATTAAAGACAACCATTGTTTTGATGTGAAATTAAATATACCACAGCAACAGATCTGTACAATGTACAAAGTATACCAGGGAGATGATATTTGCAGGTCAAGTGACAAACCTTCCCTGAACGATGGACCACGAACCAGAGTAATGTGTTTGTTGTATGGTTAACGATGCTGGAAACTATTGGACGTTTTAATTATGTGACTGAGTTAATTGGGCAAAATACATAGATGAAGAAATAATGTTTAGAGAGGATTACACACGGATTCATAAAATCCCCGAATTAAATACAGTGGTAATAATGATACATAGATTCCTGCGTGAAGAAAACAGTTTACTTTGTATTAATTTGGCAATGACAGAGTTCAGTCTGTATTATATGTTTCTGATAGAATTGATATGATGGCTTTATCTTATCGTCACACTGAAACTTATTGTTTGCAGCAGGATGCGGCCATCTGTATACTGTTTCATCAACTGCAAGTTGTCCTCAGTAGTATTGTGAAAACAGGCTACACACATATACAATCATTACATATTTACCTTCCATAAACAATGTGTTTGACTGTAATGTCTCAACCCAGGGTATGGCCATGGTAGTCTCTGGTGCAAGACCTTTGTTTGCACTCTCTGTTCCACCTTCAGTCAGGATTTTCCAACGAGCCTCTGAGAACAATAGGAGGTACACAAGAAGTAAGACGCATTTACTGTTCGCCATGGTGGACTTGTTGTAAGTGATTGCTGATTTGAGAAACTCTTTAGTGAAAGAAACTCCTTTTTCTCGAATGACACGCGCCGTGCATAGGGTGGTAGAACTTGTCCAATGACAAAGAAGCAAACAAATGAATTTCTTAACGAGCGTTCGAAGACACATTTCCCGAGCACATGGATATGCAACAAGGTAAAATCAATTGACTCACCATGTGATATGTTTGATGGAACTATACTGGCTACACAGTGTGCAGAACCATCGGGTTTTCAGGTGAAAATGCTAACCTTTTGAAGAAATATAAAAACTTCAGCGCAATATATATTGTATTGTACCTGTAACATCTGGAGCCCAGATTTCAATAGATAGAAGTTGACTTTGAAAAAAATATATGTGATTATGTGATTCATTCGTCATTCAAAAGTACATGTATATTCATTTACAGTTTTTTTGTATTTGATTCAGATACCAAGTTAGAGCATCATTAGGCGTATATTACACACATTATACTTGATATACATTTCACCGTGTCATTTTGGGATAGGATTTATGGCAAAACGAAATGGCTTTCGCAATAAAGTATTCATGATATGGTGTGAGAAATGGGTAGTTTATACAGGCCCTCTAACTGAAGACATCTCAGGTCCATCCCAAATACAATAACGCGTAACTATGAACGCTGAACTCTACATGTAGGACATGGAAGTAATTAGTAACAAGGAAGTAATTATGTTTCATGATTGATGGACATACGGGTATTGAAGCATCGATCTGTTGAAGTGAAATGTAATTCCGACAACAAATGCATCAGCCATACAGATAACTTGCGGCCTACAGTTTTATAAATAGTTTTTTTACTTTATGTGGCGTGACTATGGTTGAATGTCACGATCAAAGTATTCCTGCAATGACGACCATTGCATATTGAGCTGCTAACCTGATGATTGACCCATATACTAGGTGGTGGAAGTAGACTTGCCTACAACTGACCTTGAAATACGTGTATCATTTGGAAGAGTGTGATTATTGTATATGTACAGTGACACCTTGGTGGGTGTATGCTGAGATCAGACACTTGGACACATGATTTATGCTGAGATCTGACACTTGGACACATGATTTATGCTGAGATCTGACACTTGGACACATGATTTATGCTGACATCTGACACTGGATTTATGCTGAGATCTGACACTTGGACACAGACTTTATGCTGAGATCTGACACTTGGACACATGATTTATGCTGAGATCTGACACTTGGACACAGGGTTTATGCTGAGATCTGACACTTGGACACAGACTTTATGCTGAGATCTGAAACTTGGACACATGATTTATGCTGAGATCTGACACTTGGACACAGGCTTTATGCTGAGATCTGACACTTGGACACATGATTTATGCTGAGATCTGACACTTGGACACAGGCTTTATGCTGAGATCTGACACTTGGACACAGACTTTATGCTGAGATCTGACACTTGGACACAGACTTTATGCTGAGATCTGACACTTGGACACAGTCTTCATGCTGAGATCTGACACTTGGACACATGATTTATGCTGAGACCTGACACTTGCACACATGATTTATGCTGAGATCTGACACTTGGACACATGATTTATGCTGAGATCTGACACTTGGACACATGATTTATGCTGAGACCTGACACTTGGACACAGTCTTCATGCTGAGATCTGACACTTGAACACAGGCTGTATGCTGAGATCTGACACTTTGACACAGACTTTATGCTGAGATTTGACACTTTGACACATGCTCTATGCTGAGATCTGACACTTGGTCACATAATTTATGTTGAGATCTAACACTTGGACACAGACTTTATGCTGAAATTTGACTTAAAATGTTCTGATCGTGTGATTTCTTGAAAACGTCACAGTTTGTTTCAATGTATACAGCAGGTTATACCTGACCAGAATCCATTAATTAATTGTTAATTGTTTCGTTAAAATGGTATTTTACCAAAATGTCGAATTCCCAAACGACTCAGGGACATGTTGTTGTATCTGAGTATCATCTACTTTGAAACATAAATTGCAAATGACAGCAGATCGTCGACCGGAAGCTGCATGACAGAACTTTGTAAGATGCCCTTGAGAACAACAAAATACCCCCCTCTCCCTATCTCATCTCAATCTTTTGGCCCACTTCACTATACCACAGTCAACGGGATTACTCAAATCAACTAGTTATCCTGGATTTTAAATAGCTTTTCGTTAACCTTACCATTTGGGCGGTGTAACATTACTTGTCATCGTGTAATGAGAAAACGTTGTGTTGGGCATTCCCATGTCACAAATGGTATTTGTTTCTAACTAGTCTATTAATCACGGATTTTTTTCAAATCTATATAGGAAGTATAGAATTCGATAACAAAGAGTGTCTTTGATGTTTAATTTATTAAACATTGACAAGCATACACTATATATGTCTTACACACACAGTTTAACATTGGCATCGGGGATGACAACAAATCCTAAGGATAAGGCAGGTATCGTCAAGTAGGACGTCAGATTCAGTGGGGTGAAGGCGGGGAAGGTGTTGTTAATCAGATGAAGCGGACTACCGTTCAGCTCCACTACTCTGAAATGCGGAAACGAAAACACTTGATAACGTCATAACTGTATAACTCAGATTGCGTATATTGCACAGACATGTATTCCACTTGTAAATGGCTATCCGAGAGTTGAAATGAACCAGGAGGGTGTTGTAAGAGGTGACAATGGATCGGGCGATCATGCTTGGTGGCTTGGTTGGTGGTGTGTCAACGTAACCCGACGTCCTGGGCCGTTGTTCATAATATCAATCACTGGATTGTCTGGTTCAGGCCCGATTTAAAAACAAGCCCTCGTCATATAGCTGGACTGTTGCCGACAGAGGCGCCACACAACAGTCTGTTTACATCTTTCTACAAAATAATGTATTCTTTGAACAAACATCTCAATAATTAATGCTTGTATATTATTCATGAATATTAATGTGGGGGTCAAGCTTGTACCCATGCTTCAGAAGGTGGCCTTACGTTGACGTGATGTTGTTTCCCTGAGGTGTTAACCAGAACACGTCCAGGTGTCTGTCCCCGAACTGGAGCAGACTGAAAGTGATGTTGTTCTGGTTGATGTTGATGGCGTACAGGACAACGCTTCCGCTTCCATAGTCTCTACACAAACAGTGTACCATCAACACACAACAATGTATACTGCAATATATATTTATATTCAAAGGTAAAATATCTCGAACTTCAAGTAGGTATGTACTTTGTTGTTTTGGGATAGGGTAATGTATGGCTAGCTCCTACATGTGTTCAACAAAGGACAATATTCTTTGAATACATAATGCCATCGCGAAAGTGCTGAAATTTAACACTTGCTATATTGGGTTTAAATTTCTCAGTAAAGTACAGATTTTAAAACTTTCGTTGGGTTGAGTGCCATCCGGGATTGGAACAGACGCTCTCAGAGCCAGGCACCTAATCGCCAGCACACAAAGTCAGCCATCTAACCCACTCAGCCATCGCGGCTTCCACAAAAAGGTCGAGCAACTGGTACTCCAGACCACGGACTCTGTGTGCCCCTCTGACAAGTGTAAATACGCAAGCTGTGAATACGCAATGTCATTTAGAAAGTGGTCAAATGTAAGATAAGTTGTATTTGGCATTACACTTCTCAGAGAGGTACACACGTATGGGATTAAATCCATCAAAAGTATTAGAATCTGTACTTTACTGAGAAAGTGTAATGCCAAATATAACATATGTGATAATATTCTTGAAACGATGTGTCGACATATATTACCTGGACTGTTTGGCGCAGTGTGCATACACCCGGACAGAGTTATCTGCCGATGTTGTCAGGTTGAACACCCGTGGGCCCACAAGCTTTTTGTACAGAAGTGTAACCCAGTAGTCCTGAAATACAAAACACGTATCAATTTCAAACTAGACTACATTTAGACGTTCATAAGTTGTAACTAATTGGCAGTTTCAGTGGCGGACACACAAAGGTCCCATACATATGCCCAGTCAGCCATGTTCTAACACGAGAGGAGCAAAACGAGCTCTGAGCGCTTGTTTTTGTCAGGCTTACCGAGTGCACCCGACCTGTACGTAAGTGTACATTGACCTCAAGGCGGGATACTTTTGTCAACAGTTGTCATCTAAGTCGCCTTAGTGGACAGAGATATGGCAGACACTGCTGTAAGGAATGATGGTCAAACCTCTTTTCTCTTGTGGGTGGTTGAGAGTGAAATGTTATCAGTCAAATTTATGTCAATACTAACCTGCATCTTTTTCCGCAAATGTGACTTTGCCTTTGTGCAAGAGGTGATTGTCGGCCCCAATGCCTATCTGTCTGTATATCTATATATCTACCTATGTATATAAACTAGTGCTCAAAAGAAAGTATACAGTGTGTTTGACAAAATATGAAAAGAAAGGACAAGCATATAGTTAAATGAACATCTGCGCCAGTATGGCCATAACAATCAGGAACGACAACAACACGGCTTCTTGGTAAACGGTGGTTTTACTGGACACCGGATGTAGGCTTAACAGAGAGGCGAGCAATGCTATACGATGTACAACTAATTACAGTCATACTGGCGTGACCTCTTCTTTGTTTTCCCTTAACTTTTACCTTTATGGAAAGTAGAAATATGGAACACTCAATTAAGTACCCAAAGAAATTATGTTGCAAAATTAACTGTACCAGCAAATTAAACACATTACATGGGGGAACTTCACAGTACAATTAAAAGTTCACGTAAAAGTCAGCAAATCTTACTGGTAGGCGCCTCCCTCGTAGGCGCAGGGTTATCTGGGATCATCAGTGGTTACTCTCGCGAGTGGGAGAGTCATCGTTGGTTATCTGGGGTACAGACAGCTGGTCAGGGTCTCAGGCAGGGTTATCTGGGGTACAGACAGCTGGTCAGGGGTCTCAGGCAGGGTTATCTGGGGTACAGACAGCTGGTCAGGGGTCTCAGGCAGGGTTATCTGGGGTACAGACAGCTGGTCAGGGGTCTCAGGCAGGGTTATCTGGGGTACAGACAGCTGGTCAGGGGTCTCAGGCAGGGTTATCTGGGGTACAGACAGCTGGTCAGGGGTCTCAGGCAGGGTTATCTGGGGTACAGACAGCTGGTCAGGGGTCTCAGGCAGGGTTATCTGGGGTACAGACAGCTGGTCAGGGGTCTCAGGCAGGGTTATCTGGGGTACAGACAGCTGGTCAGGGGTCAGGCAGGGTCTCAGGGTCAGGGTTATCTGGGGTACAGACAGCTGGTCAGGGGTCTCAGGCAGGGTTATCTGGGGTACAGACAATTGGTCAGGGTCAGGGTTATCTGGGGTACAGACAGGGTCTCAGTCAGGGGGGGTACAGACAGTTGGTCAGGGGTATCAGGCAGGGCTATCTGGGGTACAGACAGCTGGTCAGGGGTCTCAGGCAGGGTTATCTGGGGTACAGACAGCTGGTCAGGGGTCTCAGGCAGGGGTTTCTCAGGAGATTGGTGTTGAGGCATATCTGGATTTTGATGTGCTGTTTCTGGTGAATGAATCTCACTTGGGACTTCGGGTAGAACTGGTGTAGGGCCATCATCAGAGTCATTATCAGTGCAGTTATGGGGGTAAGTTGGCAATTTCAGACCTTGATCGTCAACTTTGTAGCAATCGGACAGCTTCACCCGATACGATGTACTTCTGAGCTGGTTGCCTGTGAATTTTCTTATGTTGCACCATGGATCATCAATCGTAACAACTAGGTAGCGTTTCCTGGCGTTGAGAGAAAGAGATACATAAGATCACCAATACATATGTTGGTTGGGGAGTAGACCTATCCTCCTGGGAACTTGGAGTGTTCGTTATGCGGGTGGTTGCGAAGACGCTGTTGATGCTGCTTTGTCACAAGATCTCTGTCAGACACTGGTAACTGCACATTGGAGAATTGATCCCTTTGTGTCAACATTTCTCTTGAGGACATCCCTCTGCATCTTATGCGGGTGTTGAGTCTAGCGACAGCTAACGAGAGTGTCAGGGGGTGCACGTACCACCTAAGGGTCCTGGCGCAAGAGTTCCTGTTCAAGCTCCTGTATGGCCCACTCTGCCACAGGGTTCTTGTTAACGTTCTTGAATCTTCCAACCTCTACAGCTAATCTGTGGCGCCGTAAGAGATAATCTTTAGCTAGAGCAGTGAAACCTGGAGCTGGATCAACACGTACCACAGAGGGAGGACCATCCAGAGGTCTTAGTTCGAGGCACATTTTGAGCAGAGCATCCCGCAAAGTAAGGTGTCTTTCGTCTTCCACAATGCATGCAGTTGTGTAGGAGGTTACACACTCGCGTACCACAAGTATGAGTTGGCGTTCCCGCTTCATGACATAAGCGGCGAAGAGCACCCCAATGGCTTCTGGGGGCGCGCTGCTTGACTGGACGTGAAGGTAGTGTGGAACCTTCGCAAGTGACGAACAGGGATGGCAAATACGAGTCACATGGTCGATACCTTTGTCCATGTCTAGTGCGTAGAAGTAACGATGCATTACTTGTTTTAGTTGATGGATGGTCAAGCTGGATGTGGATGGCCGTGAGGAGACCTTCAAATACTGTTCGTGTCACTATGATGCAATCTCTGGTAAGTGAAAGAGGTTCGGAACGACAAACAACAAGAAGACCATCTTTGGATATTGTAGCTACGTTGAGATAGCGTTTCACATCCTTCACGGTAGTCTGTTTCTTCGATGGCCGTGTGCCTTGTGTGAGGTGGGCATGTGTACGCCACAAATCAGGACATTCTGCCTATAGCGCCAACCATGCGGCACGACTGGTGTACGGTAGTTTGGCATCGCCTTTCATGATGTCCTCGACACATAAACGTGAAACAACAGAGTCTTCGGTTCTCTGAACAAAGGAGCAAACCTGGCACGTTGGGTGGAGGCATTCTTTGGCATTGCGGCTTGCGAAGTCTGACGGGATGTTTGCAGAGCCTGATAAGTGGCTCACCGAAGCTTGGTAGCTACTGACACCAGAGACGAAGGTAGATACCCTGGGGCTGGCGGAAAACTCTCCGCGACAAAGCTTCTCAACTGCCTGGACACAAGGCTTACTGTCTGTCAGCAAGCAGGCTCTGTGTTGGGACTGTATGATATAAGGAGAAAAATGTTTAACAGCCACGCCAATGGACAGGGCTTCACTCTCACATGGTAACCACGTGATCTGGCGACCTCTGAGTTTGGCGCTGAAAAAGCCAGCCAGCTGTGGCTTCTGGTTGCGAGTGACATATAAGGTTGCTTCGATACCATGTCGTTTCACTGCTCAATCTGTGACAATCCACAGTTGAACCTCTGGTCTCGGTAGAGTAATGGTCCTAGCATTGGTTAGGGCCTTCTGAGCCTGATGGAATGTTGATATGAGGAGGTCAGTCCACTGTATGGTGTCTTGTGATGAGAGGCCGGCCTGAACATTATCTAGTGGGGCAATGAGTGAAGCACAGTGTGGAACTACCCTTGCAAGGTTTTTGTACGCCCCGATAAAGGAACGTAATCCGCTCACCTTGGTTGGACGAGCACAGGAGGAGAGGGTGGCTATTCGGTGTGGACTGGCTTTGATGGTGCCCTCTTGCCATATCCATCCTAAGATGGTCACTGTCGTTGGTCCAATGAGAGTCTTATGTGCTGCGAGGCACAGATTGTTATGTTGGAGGGCATCTAATACCCGTCGCCAATTGTGAAGTAGGTCCTCAAGGTTATCTGCATCGCAGTACAAGTCGTCGGCGAGTTTTGCAACTACACCCTCCGCTAACAGATCGCCCAGTACACGACACGTGAGTTCTTCTAGGGCAGTCTCAGAGCCGGGCATACCCATCGCGCACCTAGCATAAGTTCTGACTCCTTTGAAGGGAGTGGAGACTCCACAGTACTTGAGAGACTCCCGTACCAAAGGGATCTGGTGAAAGGCTAACGTCAGATCTGTGGTAATTATGTACTTCCACGAAGCAATCAATCGCAATGAGAGAAGGTTGCGGTTTACTGTAGCGACCGACATCAGCAAATGCAGTCACAAGGCGAAAACCTCCGTTAGATTTCTAGTCGAGCAAGGAAGGGTTGACGTATTCCACCGTGATGCCTATATCTTCTGGCTTCACAAAGACTCCCAGGTTCTCTAGACTGTCGAATTTCTCTTGGAGTTCTACTAGCTTGTCTCTGGAATACTGAGGACACCAACCCTTGTGCTGAGGGGGTTGGACGGGACCCATATTGACAACAGCTTTGAAAGGGCCTGACGCACCGTTGTAGCCCTTGATAGTGGGATCAAACACATCGTCATAATCCAGCAAAAGCGATCTAAACTGCTCTCTGATTTCCGGAGGAAATGTCAGGATCCAGCTGTACAGCGGTAGAGAAGATGGCTGAGGGGTTACTTACAGTCATTTGAACTGCGGAGACGGCGGTGATTTCTTTGACATTAAACTTGAATCCAGGGGGCTGGTTACCGAGGTGGTGAGAACATGGCAAAAGTGCTCATGTCGTTTGATGATCATGGGATTGTCTGTCATGTTTGGTATTTGTACCTTTCCTGCCACACTTGTCACCATGTCAAAGCTAGGCCACTGAAGATCACTTGAGGAGTTCTTGCCGAGATCTCTTCGGGGTTCGATGGCAAAGGTAGAGTCGACTTGACTCATTTCCTCTGGGAGGCCAACTTCGATGAACTCTCCTGGCCAAAGTGTTGTAATTTCGCTGGGGAAACGAAGGATATGTGTTCTTCTCATGCTGTGTTGGGAAGGCGAGTCTTTTGATGAGCTGTACAAGTAAGTAGTACCGTCAACCAGTATGACCTGATGTTTGGCTGGACGAACAGTTATGTCGTTCAACTCCATGAACGGGATTCCTGCGAGAATATCAACGTCCAGATCCTCCACTATTAAACCTTCAAACTGGAACTCTCTACCATCTCGAACAACTGAGAAGCGTGTTTCGCCAGAGACTTTATGGGGGGAGATGCCATCTGCCAACTCCAAGGTATGTCGCAGTTGACAGACGAATCATATTACCTGTGGCACCACAATCGATAGTTATGTTGGCAACCTGGTGACCATAGAAAGCAGTCATTGATGGCGAATGTCCGACCTGTATCCGCATTACGGCAGCCTGGGGTGCGGGTCCGATAGCACACTGCAACTCCATGTCTTCAAGTTCTTCAGAGATGTCACAGTCTGGAGTATCAAGGATGTCAGCAATTCTCCGGGCTTTCGCCATATACCGTTTGTCATGGTCCGGCAGAAATGAGCATTGACTCAGGAAGTGTTCTGTGTTGATTCTCCCTGCTGTGTTTGCAAAAAGGACAAACTTTGAGAGGAGGGGATGATCTGGGCTTGAATAGAGATAGTTGTTGGTGAGTCGACCTTGAGTAGAACCGGGAGGCCGCGGACCTCATAACCTTGACATCCTCTGTGGAGTGAAGCTCATCTAACAGGGATGTTAATGCTTGTGAAATCTCCGGTTTCAAGGAGGCTAGCGTTCTGGACCGAAGATCCATCCCGTACCTCTGTTTGACCAGACGTGGCAAGTCCTTGTGGATGAGTTGAAGCCAGGTAAGTACAATGAAGTTTTCCAGGGATGGAGAAATTTTCCTCGTCTTCTTCAATGACGACATTGTCAGACGACGAATGACGTTAGACGTGATCCGTTGCCAATTCTGTAGGAGACATTGTTCCAGTTGTTGAGCGGTGACAAGTGGCGTTTGTAGTCTTCTGATTGGTCGATAGAGGTAGTCCATAAGTGTTCTATCGGATTCATGTAGGGAGAACATTCACGCTATCGTTATCGTGTTGGTAGACAATGCCACGTGATTGTTGCTGGATATATTTGCACAGCTGGTTGCAAAACTTCATCCCTGTATCTTCGAAGATTCAGGTTGCCATGAATAATCACAAGTCTCGTTTTAAGATCGCCACAGATCACCCCCACACCATCTCGTTCCAAACGTTCGGACTAATGGTTCGGCGCTAAACGTTCACCTACTCGTCTGTACGAGCCCGGCCGTTATTACTGTGCAGGCAAAGCCTACACTCGTCGGTGAACATCCCACGTCGCCAATCACGCATCTACCAACGTCAAACTCATCTGTCCCATGTCAATCGACGACATCGGTTTTGAAGAGTCTGATGCACTCCGCGGTAGGGTCGACATGCTCGAATACCATGTTCTCTTAGTCGTCGGTACACTGTATGTCGATTGATACGGCGTCGTAGTACCGTCGCTGCCGTTGACGTCGCCGTTACAAAAACAGATGAATTGTCCGAATGTGGCGATCATCACCACTCCTAGGCCTGTCTGACGTGTTGCCTGTTTGTCTTTGTCGGTACATCAGTCTGATGACAGTTGCTCGGGTGCAGCCGAAGCTTCTGGCGATGATGGAGTACATTCCGACAGCTCTTTCCTTTTGATTTGCCTCAAACGTGGCATAGTTTTTGTGTTCTTTTTACTACTGTGTTGCTAACGTGTCGCGTAGACTGTTTCATACCGCCAGTATGCGCGTGCATTTCGTGTTACATAAGAAAAAGTCGTTTTGGATTAATTGAGACGTTTTGGCGATTAGTTAACTTGTTTTTGCCTTTTGTTCCCAGAAAGGATGCGTCTGTGCGTGTGTGACATGGCTTAGTATGGTTTTATTAAATAGTTTTATTTTTGTGATTTTTATGTAATAGTAAGAGGTGTATAGTTTCTTTTGAGCACTAGTTTATATGATCGAAAGCTGTTACCAGCAGATATATGATCGGTTGTCTGTGTACAATTGTGCAAGACCAAACTGCTTTACGGTATCATTTGCAAGACTAATGCTATGTTATTAACATCTGTTTTTTGTTTTCTCATTACAGTTGATGAAAATATAGACTGTGTAATTAATAATCAATCACATGAGTGTCTTTACATTTTTAGTTCGTAGGACAGTTTCCATCTACAGATGATGGCTGATACAAATCAATTTCGATGAAACACGACAAACCGATTTCTGTAGAAATGCGAGCTGCTCATATTCCTAAGCAAAAACATTAAGTAGGTTTAAGGGACACTGTGTTGTCGCTCTGGTATCATTGATATCAATTAGTAAACTTCGACGTGATATATTCAAGACAAAAATAACAAAGAACATTATCGCACTCATAGCGTCATGAACTGCCTCTGGTAATGCGCAGTTGTAACATCATGTGAACAACCAAACTGGCTTCTCAGTCCCTACCCACTGCAGTCTATATTGATTCCCATCATGAAACTTACCGGGTTAGGGTCAAATGTGTTTGGCTGTATCAGGCTGTTATAACTTCCATAGAGATCTTGGCGTATAACAGTCTTTATGCCATACTTCGCAGCCACCCCCAACTTATCTAGCCACCTGCAATTTGAAAAAGAAATGTCCGCTCAATTGTCATTAACTTTAACGTTTGGGTATTGACAGGTTGGCAAGGTTTTCCTTACCATTCAAACATGCTGATCTTAATTCAAGACAGATGTATGAAAGTTATGCTTCTGTTGCATTCATAATACGCTGAATGTTTTAAATAATTAGGCACCAAGGTAGAATAGTGACTTTTAATTGGAAATGCATGCAAGAGGCCAGTAAGAAATCGTTTTACAATCATCACACTTAGTGACGCAGTTCCTGAGATTCAGGATGGTTTCCTGCTCTACTCAGTAGGGCTGAAGTCACAAGTGCATGGGAACCGTTCCGTCATGCGTATGCCATGCTACCGATCAAACTGACCTAATTTGGAATTGGGGCGGTAGGGAAGCCTTGGTCGTAGTCTGACTCACAGTCCCCCAACCCAGTATTTCCCGTTATGCCTAGCCCTCCCTGCAATGCTCAAGCCCTAAATGAAGCAAGTCTAGACTTCCCCAGGTTCAGGCCTGGATCGCCCAACTCACTGGGGATCCTTTTCAATTTAAATGGGTTATTTGTTACTATCAAAATTATATATATTCAGGAACTAAGCGTTAGTCTAACTTGATTGTTAAAGCGTTCGCTCGTCACGCCGAAGACCCGGGTTCGATTCCCCACATGGGCACTATGTGTGAAGCCCGCCGTGATATTACTGGAATATATATTGCAAAACCATACTCACTCACTCACTCACTCACTCACCCACTCACCCACTCACCCACCCAACCACTAATTCACTCACTCACTCCATTGGGTTTGGTTATGAATAGCTGCGTCTGAACCTTTCACAAATGACTGGATGAATACGAACATGAGAGATGCCACGTAGGTGTTGGAAATTCCCGGTGCCCCATCCCCGCTGGTCGTGGACGTCTCCCCCCAGCCACACAGGCTTTGTCTTCACGTGGAACGTGGCCATGTCCATCGCGTCCACCACCTTCTTGATACAGTCGTCAAAGAAGCGGGGCTGTGTGAACAGGTCCAGGTCAGCGATCTCAGGGGAGAAGTAATAGCTGCAGAACACACAGTATATCAGTTCTCAGCTACCTCGGGGGGAAGTAATACCTGCAGAACACCCCAGTATATCAGTTGTCAGCTACCTCGGGGAGAAGTAATACCTGCAGAACACCCCAGTATATCAGTTCTTATCCACCCGGGGAGGAGTAATGCCTGCAGAACACACCAGTATATCAGTTCTCATCCACCCGGGGAAGAAGTAATACCTGCAGAACACCCAAGTATATCAGTTCTCATCCACCCGGTGGGAAAGTAATACGTGCAGAACACCCTAGTATATCAGTTCTCATCCACCCAGGGAAGAAGTAACACCTGCAAAAGACCCCAGTATATCAGTTCTCATCCACCCGGTGGGGAAGTAATACCTGCAGAACACCCTAGTATATCAGTTGTCATCCACCCGGGGGAGAAGTAATACCTGCAGAACACCCCAGTATATCAGTTCTCATACACCCGGTGGGGAAGTAATACCTGCAGAACACACCAGTATATCAGTTCTCATCCACCCGGGGAAGAAGTAATACCTGCAAAACACCCCAGTATATCAGTTCTCATCCACCCGGTGGGGAAGTAATACCTGCAAAACACCCTAGTATATCAGTTCTCATCCACCCGGTGGGGAAGTAATACCTGCAGAACACCACAGTATATCAGTTCTCATCCACCCGGGGAAGAAGCAATACGTGCAGAACACACCAGTATATCAGTTCTCATCCACCCGGTGGGGAAGTAATACGTGCAGAACACCCCAGTATATCAGTTCTCATCCACCCGGTGGGGAAGTAATACCTGCAGAACACACCAGTATATCAGTTCTCATCCACCCGGGGAAGAAGTAATACCTGCAAAACACCCCAGTATATCAGTTCTCATCCACCCGGTGGGGAAGTAATACCTGCAGAACACACCGGTATATCAGTTCTCATCCACCCGGGGGAGAAGTAATACCTGCAGAACATCACAGTATATCAGTTCTCATCCACCCGGTGGGGAAGTAATACCTGCAGAACACACCAGTATATCAGTTCTCATCCACCCGGGGAAGAAGTAATACCTGCAAAACACCCCAGTATATCAGTTCTCATCCACCCGGTGGGGAAGTAATACCTGCAGAACACACCGGTATATCAGTTCTCATCCACCCGGGGGAGAAGTAATACCTGCAGAACATCACCAGTTCTCATCCACCCGGTGGGAAGTAATACCTGCAGAACACACCAGTATATCAGTTCTCATCCACCCGGGGAAGAAGTAATACCTGCAAAACACCCCAGTATATCAGTTCTCATCCACCCGGTGGGGAAGTAATACCTGCAGAACACACCGGTATATCAGTTCTCATCCACCCGGGGGAGAAGTAATACCTGCAAAACACCCTAGTATATCAGTTCTCATCCACCCGGGGGAGAAGTAATACCTGCAGAACTCACCTGGGCCCTTATTCTCGAAACGTTCGTAGCCCTAAGAATTCGTAACTTTGATCGTAGCCAATGTGTAAAGAATGGACTTAAGAAGTTCGTAGGGCTACGAACGTTTCGAGAATAGGGGCCCAGTATATCAGTTCTCATACATCTCGGGGAGAAGTAATACGTGCAGAACACCTCAGTGTACCAGTTCCCCACCATTTTTGATAACGGTGCATTGCATGAATACGCAAAGAATCCTTTTAAATCTTTCGCTTAATTAAAAATCATCTGATGATTCGCATTGACCTACCTGAAACCTGTGCGTGGTATGGAACTATATTTCACCCTCTCAAGAAATACCAAATTCATGTTAAATATGCAATCAAAATTAACGCTGACAATGGTAAAGTAGCCTTAGACAGTGGACCATTCCACTTACTGATGGAACGAAACCGCATCCACAGCCACGCCCCCATCAGTATCCAAATATCTGAAAGGAAACATCAGATACATTAAGAGGAAATCTTACTTGCTTGGAAGTTTGTCATATGAGTTCTAGGGACATGTAAGACACATGCTCGGGCAATGGTCATCTATGAGTCATAAAACACGATTTACATCACACGTGAAAGACGATATATACTAACGGGAAATGTAACTCAAATACAGTTCAATAAAAAAGAATGATTCTGAAATAAAAATTGCATCTTAAAGTCATGATGCACAATTTGGATGTCTGTGTGCTTGTTGGGGACATGCTGAGTGGCTGTTGGGGACGTGATACTCATGCACATGGAAGCACCGCAACCAGCCAGTTATGCTATCTTGAACCGATATTCGGAACAACATTGTTTTCAATCATGTGAATGCACAGCCTCTTCTTCGAGAAAAACCTTGTTATTTGAGTTCTTAAACCATCGCCCTTTAAAGGCCTGTCGCTCTGTTTCGTGTTACTCTATAAGTTCTATTACAAATATGCGAAGATTAGAGTTGATTGTTTAAATATTGTTCATTCGTTGATAGGTAATATTCACTTGATGACCTACATCTAACATATTTGTACTACCTACTCATCGAGGTATATGAAGGGTTTGGCTGTGTCGGGGCCTATGAAGAGGGTGTTGTTGTAGTAGGACATATTTCTCAAGAGATTCCTGAAGGTGAGTGCATCAGCTCCAATCTGGTCCGGATCGACATACACTTCATATCTCCCCAGAAACTCGTCGGGCTCTGAAATAATGATATAAAATAGAAGCCATTTCACACCCTAAATAGCGTTATTTGTGGAACGTCAACTGCCAGGACACGGTGAGGACCACTGTAAAGTCTCCACAGCATGAGAAGATGAAACGGACATCAATGTTAACTATAAAACGTCAGTGTCAAAGAATACCCTGTCTTGACTATTCTCAGAAATAAACTCCGTTTGGTGTAAAGGTAAACACAGCTGTGAGAATTTTATGAATGGATCACTGAAACTCGGCGATGACACCAGGTGGTTACAAATATTGTCTGAAAATGTAAGCATCTTTTTGCCTGATGGCGCACATGTATCCGGCCATGCAACGGCGGGCTGGAAAAAAAACAGGCAATCATGTAATCGATGAACCGGAATATTCAGTTAGAGAATTTGGAATAACAACCTCTGTGTAGAAGTAGAGAGATATAGAGAACACCAGCACTCAAATGAGTTCGCTACAATCGAGAAGTTTCCTGATCCACCTTATTCCTCTGATTTGTCTCTGCCCAACGTCCATCTGATTCCAACAACACTACAGTAACAGCAGAGACACATACATACCGTTTCCAAGTTCCACACCTGCCAGGTTGTACCCCTTTTGTTGTGTATATCTGAGAAATTCAAGAGCATTGGTCGGATCCCAGTTGGAGCCATTCCTCTTCAGTGCGTTCAGCCCAAATATCAAGCTCATGCCAGCACTTTGGGAAAATTCGTTCAAATTATCCCAGTCCCTTGCTGCAATGCAACCGTAAATCTGAATGACAGTTGTCGGAAGATATATGTAAACTCTCTCCTTCTTGCATTAAATTTTACAAGAACGTAAACATGAACGATCAGATTTGCACGCTGATTTACTTATGGAACAGAATCCCCACATGTGCACAATATGTGACGCCCATTTCTGGTGTCCCCTACGTGATGTTGCTCGAATATTGCTATATGCCGCGTAAAACTCAACTCACTCACTCACTTATGCAGCAATATCCTTTACCTGTCATGGTAAAGTTTGCAGGTGGGTCGAGAAGTCCCCTGTTGGCCACGTGTGATCTCACCATAGACGGGCTGCTGCTGAAGGTTACAGCGTCCCCAGCATATCCTCCAACACGAAGGTAGCAGGGGGACAATCCCCTCGCCAGGGTCAGGACCTTAACATTGCTTCATAAAGTAAAAGGAAATTAAATATGATGATTTTGAACTTTCAACCTCAGAAAAAAGTATTTTATATATATAGGCAAATCTAATATTTCTGTGACGGACAAGAAAGCATGGTAATTCCTTGAATAACTTCATACATTGTCATACAGAAGATAATCCTGTAAGGTATATCAACAATGATACTGATGTCATGTATCGAGAATGCTTCAAGCAACAATGATCGAAACAAGACATTGACAGAATCTGTCAAGGTGCATAATTTCTCTAGTTACAAACGAGTTACCATGTGTCTTATTGTCGTATAATCCCAATATCCCATTCTACACTGAAGTTCCTATCTTGGAAGGAACACTAACGGACATATGTTGTCGTTGTTTATGTGTGTTTATGTATGTGGTTACACTGAAAGTTACCTAAAGTTCAGTCCATCCCAGTTACTCTGAAGCAGGGCTACATCCAGTGCGACTCCTACAAACACTGTCTGGTTGATCTCCTGAATCACCTTGTCTGTGATGAGATTCACGTCCACAACAGTGTTCGGTGTCACGGTGTACCAACACAGGACAAACACTACACAAAACACAGACATGTTGTCGGAGACAGACAAATGGTAAAGAAAAGACTTTATTCTTATCTGTCTGCTGAGTTGCCAGGTCACAATCTGTACTTCTTCACACACAGTAGATATGTCCAGAAGGAAAAGCTGCCAGTTTCTAACCTGGTAGAATAATTACATGCCCAGAAGTGGGACAAGACTGGAAGATGCAGCCCATGCCAAGAGAGTCTTTTGTGTCCTTTCAGTTATGCCTAACTGAATGCCTATTTTTTCAGAATAAATGTTAATCTTCTTAATGAAACGAACATGAAGGTTTAGTCTTTCTTTATTGAATTACAAGATGACGTAGCTGAATGAATTATACATCACTGCATTTATTTAAAACTGATTATGAGCACCACGTCACATGGCATGTGGGGGTCAAATGTCAAGGTCATGTGGAACTATTTGCATGCTGCAACTCCAGCCTGTGGGAATACCAGGAAGCCGAATGATCTTGGTGGCACCGTGACGTCTGAAGTCAGCTTACTGGGAGTCAAGGGAGGCAGGTCGTCGTTCATCAGGTTGATGGGCGCTCCATTAAGGTTCACGGTACTATTAATATCAGAATATTAGGTTACTCTCTAGTCAGTATTCAAGGTTGTTTCTTTACATCCATCCATTAAGTGTGCTGAAAGGTACCAAGTTACTTTACCAAGCTGAAAGGGAATATGGCTGTGGCTAGCTTTTAAAACAGAGCTCAGGGATACTTTTCACAGTTTTCTGTATATATCCTTACATTCATGTAGTGCCTCAGCTTAAACATGAGGTGATTAATGAGAAGACCTACGTGGCTGTGAGATTGTTGTTGGGTGGGGTCAGCCAGTACACATCTCGGGACTGGCCGGCAAACTGGGGTAACGTCAGGTTGACGTCAGACTCGTGCAGATTCATGGCGTACACGACAACACTGCCTGCACCATATTTGTACACGCTGATGGTAAGGTAAGATATGGTACCTTAGTGCTCGTTCTGTCATATATTTTACACCAACATGTTTTATATATAATGATAATATAACTTTAATGCGAGTATACAGTACATTAAATGTGAAATGTTTCTATGAAAGTTCGTTCCAACATCCATTTTCAATACGACTTTTTAAAAACACAATGAATTTCAACATCAGGATCCTCTGCCTGGTGCAGTGCCTTGAACCGTTCAGTCTGGTTTTGAAATGGAAGGAAATAGGAACGTTAATCAAGCATCACCTGATTCAAAATCTATAAACAAGTAGGCGGTGTTTAATTACTGTTCCTGTGTATATACACGCCTACAGGAAGATGTGCATCCTTACATGACTCGTTTTCCATCTGGGGAGTATTCGTTGTGAACTGAAATGCTACTACAGAGTGAAGCGCTCACCTTGTTCGCTTGGCACAGTGGGCATACACCCTGACAGACTTATCGGCCGTAGATGTCAGGTTGAACACGTGACTTCCAACCAGTCTTTTGTACAGCACAGTCAGCCAGTAGTCCTGGAAGAGACAATATCGTCCATTAGCAAACCTGGCAGCCATGGATATACAATGCACTGGTATCAGCCTTGATGAAGACAGGGATTCTAGCTTGGGAGATACGAGTAATTCACTACTTACAGGGTTGGGGAAGAAGGTGTTTTGTTGTATCAAACTGTAGTTTCCTCCATAGAAATCCTGGCGGAGAACAGCTTTCACTCCCATTTTGGCACTGAGACCCAGTTTGTCCATCCACCTGAAAGAAACAACGAGCACCTGAGCTAGTGTTGTATTGTTAGCCTTCGTTGGCACTATACAACTGAAACCTCTTCCATTTAGTAAAAGTGCTCTTGTCAGCGACTCCTGGCTGTCGTCTATCACTGTACGTGAATAACACGGTGTCTAGTTATGGTCAGACGTAGTATGTACGCACAGAAATCCTGCAACATATGTGTCAGATATCCCTGGAGTTCCTGTGTTGTAGGCCGACGACGTCTCGCCCAGCCACACTGGTTTCCCGGGAATGTCGGCTTTTCCCACAGCAAGAAAAGATTCGATCTTGGCCTTGAGGCTGTCCATTATGTTTGGGTCCAAGAACATACTCAGCACGGAATGTCTACCATCAAAGTAGTAACTGTTGTTGAGAAGAGAGAAACAAATAAATAAAATACAAATAAAAAATAATTGTAATTGGAGGAGCATCAATCGAAGGTTTTAGAATGATATATGAAAGTTGTACAGATAATGTTAATAATTCGAATTTGACATTTGACAACTTACTGGTGCACCGTAGCTGCGTTTATAACACTTCCACCATCTCCTTTCAAGAAACTGCAACAGTGGGAAACAGAACTAATCTACAACACATAAAACATAAACGATAAAACATTTTATTCACTTTAGAGATGTCTCCCGAACAGCATCCTGGGTATTACCAATAGACCAATCCATATTTACCATCACGATCAATCACTAAATAAAGGTGATAAAAAACGCTGCCTCATATCTACAACACACTGAACATACATCTTCGTTTGAAGAACACCATGTAGACAACACACACTTACTCGTCCACGTACTGCCCGACACCGGTAGTATCTGGGCCGATGATCAATGACTTCTCAAAAGGCAGCGACTTCAACACGTTCTGTAGAGTAACGAAGTCTTCGCCCAGCTGCTGCGGAGACACTTTCTTCGGGAAGATATCAGGCTCTGTGTACACACAACTCACACATCTATCACCGTACAGACAACTCACACATCTACCACCGTCAACGATATAGTACATGTTAACAAATGGAGAGTTTCCGGATTTTTTTTCAAAATGCGTAGCGTGGTAATGCTATCATACCATTCGTATCTTCGTGTGCAAATGCTTAAACTTAATGTTTCTACGTCATCTTCTTTGTCGACCTCGATGGGTTTATGTTGAAAAGCATAGCAACCAACTCAACCATCGTGGTACATTATGAAGAGTCTAGTAATGCGAAGGCCGTCTGACATGTAGAACAGTTCAGTGAGTAAATGAACGAACACCTACCGTTTCCAAGCTCAAATCCATACATAGGATATCCTTTTTTCACCGTGTACTGCAGCAACACAATAGCATTCGTGGGATCCCACTCAGCTCCACCTCGTTTCTTGGCGTTGATGCCAAAGATCATCTTCCATCCCACCTCCTTTACAAACATGTTGAAATTGTCCCAGTCTTCCGCTTTGGGAGGAAGTCAGAAATATTTACTGATGCAAACACAGAAATTTGTTCAGCTAAATACACGAACAGAGGCATGTATGAGAATATGGATGTCAGCGCTCCCATTACATACTGGACAATTCTTACACTAGAATTACCTGTCATTGTGAAGTTTGTTGTGAAGGGTGGGCGAACCAATTTGGAAATATCTTTCTTTTCGAGCCTGTTGGGGTCAAAGGTGAGGGAGTCGCATGCCGTACCCCCAATACGCAGAAATGACGGAGCCATTCCCTTGGCAAGATTCAGCATTCGTCCATTTCTGGAGTAAAGAACCTTACGTGTCGTGAGTAGGCTGGTGCCGGACAATCAATAGAGGTACATGCATTCAATGGACACAGTTAAAGCCAATGCTGTTTCCAATATCTGTAAGTTGATATGTTGTAGACAAATATATGACTAAATAGTTAAGAGATGAATACCATGTAAGTAGTGTAATGTAGGTAGAAGTGTTACTAACGTTTGAAATGTAGTTGAGGTTGATGTAATCTGCGCGAATTTCCGAACAAATTACTCCATCGCCCTTTAGTGTATCAGGACATCAAGTAAAAGGGTCATCTGTTTACTGCCAACACAAACTCTGGTATTATCATCTCCCGACGATATCTCCATCATGGCATCACGAAGTTCTGGATGTCCAAACTGAAGACCCTTGAAATGATCACAACTCAGTGTGACCACTAACCACCATAACAGCATGGTGAAGGCGCTGTGGCCAACTTGCAACCAAATTCCGGACGACTTATGGAATAAACTTCAATTCCCTCCCACTATGTTATTATTTTTTTTTTAATTATATAATCTATTTATATAGCGCCGAGTTCCAGCTAGGCTGCTCACGGGCGCTTTATTTTTCCCTTGATCATAGGATGTCAATCTCAACGGCACTTCGTATTATCAATCTCAACTCCCTGGGGACCATACAACTCTTGCAGCCACTAGGCGCACCGAGTTAATGTGGCTTTCTCATCCTTACGAGGTACCCATTCACAATTGGGTGGACTGGGACACATGGTCACAGTGCTTTGTCCAAGTTCACTGCACGTTGCTGTACCCGCAACAAGGTATTTTCACGTATTCATGTGGCCGCCATCTGGTCATATACCAACGGATTCGTGGGTTCTTTAAGTACACAGGGTTGTGTACTGTAGGCTAGGGGTTGTGACAACAATGAAAGAGTCTGCACACAAAGTTGACTTCAAGGTTTTTACACCCGGTCACAGGAGGGCTCGATCCCGGCACCTCAAGCTCGCAGGATTACAAGCCTGGCGCCGTAGACAGCTCACCCACCGCGCCCCCAATCATGACTGGAGCAGTCAGTACCTCCATGTGGAGCAATATCTCCATACAGAATATCGCAAAGATTGAGCGGTCGAAAAGATGAGTGGTCGGATATAAGAGTTTCCAATGGCACTGGTGTAAGTTACACAATCTGATACTTCCTGGAATCAATCCAAGTTTCAATCCAAATGTGGATGCATTTACACCTGCGGTCACCTCATCCGCTACTGTGCTCCAGCACTACGTCAAACCAGACCTCGGTCACAGTGACAATACTGAAAATCGACAAGAGAAGTGAAGAGGCTGTTACTGTAATTCTTGATATGTTCAAGTCTCTGTACTTCCTGTTCCACAATCAGTGAATACTGAAGTTTGAAATCCTATACATTTATGTCTCGAGAGATTACTTCAGATGTCTGCTTAAAAAGTCAATTTAAAAGCAAAATAGTGGGGAACAAGGAACTAACTTGACTGAAAATAACGAGGCGGGTGCCATTGCTCCTGGACATTCGTGGCATAGGTTTGTTTAGCCGTGTAGACTGCTATACGGACTGTATGTTAACTGTGAACTTTACCTGAAGTCAAATCCTTCCCAGTTATCCTGCATCAAGTAGCAGTCCAGCGTCACACCCATAAACACATCTTCATCAATGTCCTGGATCACCTTACTTACATCAACATTGATGGTAATTTTAGGTGTCTGAAGAGACACTAGCTGCACAAAATATATACAAAATACGGCAAAAGCTGGCAAAGCTGACATTTCAGACTTTGGTGGGCGAAGAAATCGCTGAAGTTAAACGTTATTGACCTCGGATCTTATCAAATGTAACACAAGGTCAAGGTTGAACACTTTTTATCAGTTCATGTGTGCCAATAGGTCAATACAATATATATAATGTCGTACATGTGATATGATGTGATGGATATATGATATACTTAGTTTATAAAATTGAAATGTGAAAGATATTTGCTTGGTATATTTTATAAGATTAGCGTGAAATTGGTTGCCATATTATTGACCATATATGTACCTTAAAGCGCCAACAGTTTGTACTTTAAACTTGAAAGGAATTCCTTATCTTCACAGATATGCATACCAACAGAAACCAGCCTCGGTGTGTTTTTCTCCGTTTATGTTAGACTTAATTAAACTAAGTTTAACCTGAAATTCAGTTGACTTACTTATTAATGAAGAGTGGTGACAATTAGAATATATGTGGAAAACGTCACCTTCACAGAATAAAAGAAGTTGTATATCCATAAAAATTGTCATCTTTCTTCATCAACTCAACTTCTAAAATGCCCATCAATGAAGTTAAATATAAATGTTGAATATTGGAAAATAGTGATCAGTCTTAAGATGTCTACACACATAGGGATATTTTCTGATAAAGAAGATGATATCCCTCATGACTGCGTACCTTTTCTCAATGGTTTTGTTTATTTTTTTTAAAAAGAAAAATAACCTTCATTAATAAATCAAGAAATGTAAAGGATAGAATAATGATTGTACTTTTGCCACGTTGAATGATATTGATGAGACATACATGACAGTGAAAATATTTACCATGCGATCGCTTCTTTTATTTAATAATTACTCTGACTGATAATTGTGTGTTAAAATATTTGTTGGTGAAACTGTTTACATATATCTTCAGAGAGGCGTGTTTCACGTCAAATAACTACTTTGTGTTATACCTTCCTGTCCTGCTGTCTCTCTTGTGTGTGTATGTTAGCGTAATGTCTTCTCCCTGGACGACAGCCACATAGCCATTACATATCAAGGTACAACACACAGTCATGGGATCCAAACCAAGCTCAGCCATCTGATCATCGGAAATACGGGTTACTATTCTTTAAAACAAGACAGTAACCATCAGCGACATATCCATTGAATGGCATACGATGGGCATCCGTATCATTTTGTTTATATTGAAAAACATATTAACATGCTCTCTTCCGTATGCGTACATGCGTATACAGATTGTCTCAAAGTTCTCTCCGTACAGGCGGTTGCCCAGGCTTATAACACGTGCAGCTGTATCAACTGGTAAACCGTCTCATGCCAACAAAAGGGTCATAGTTGACGGAATGAGACAACCTCGTTGAAGAGATAGATCCCCTTGAGCAATTACGTAACGTGATCATATGTCCAGTTACTTTTGTGTCTGTGTATACAGATGCATTTTCATTATACACATGCTATTTTCTTGGGTAAAACGGCATATGATAACACTATAATTATATCATGTTTTATTGATGACTTGGGTATAACGGCATATGATAACACTATAATTATATCATGTTTTATTGATGACTTGGGTAAAACGGCATATGATAACACTATAATTATATCATGTTTTATTGATGACTTGGGTATAACGGCATATGATAACACTATAATTATATCATGTTTTATTGATGACTCGGGTATAACGGCATATGATAACACTATAATTATATCGTGTTTTATTGATGTTAAATGATCTCACGTTGAACACTGAAACATGAATAAAACACGTTGTACTCCAGGTAATTTATATGGGCAACAAATAGCTGACACAGCCAGATTCCAACAGGTGTATCGCACTTGTTGTCCACGGGGGCACTATTAAAATAGTAACAAGATAGCTTTGATCTTAGGGCGAGGTCACAGTATTCTCAGATAAGTCTGTATTTCGGTGAAGTCATATTTCGGTTGGCACCAGGGTATGAGGTGTTGCTGTAACAAGGCTGTGTCTGCTGTGACGACGGGAACACCGTATACGTCATCAACACTTCGCTTCAACACATCATGGTTTATGCTTTATGCCACATGTAGAGTTTGGCGCACAACATCTGACATATAAAACATCTAACGTACCATCAAGAAAACATGAAACACAACTTCTAACGTGACATCCAACATGACACCTATCATGCCATGTAAAATACCGTCTAACATACCATATAACATAATACGTAACATACGATCTAACATAACATGTAAAATAACACGTACTTTGTAAACATAACATGTAGCATAACATCTAAAATGACGTGTATCACAACACGTAACATAACATGTGACATACCATCTATATGACGTGTAACATAACATGTGACATACCATGTGACATACCATCTAAACTGACGTGTAACACAACACGTAACATAACATGTGACATACCATCTATATGACGTGTAACATAACATGTGACATACCATGTGACATACCATCTAAACTGACGTGTAACACAACACGTAACATAACATGTGACATACTATCTATATGACGTGTAACATAACATGTGACATACCATCTAAACTGACGTGTAACATAACACGTAACATACCATCTATATGAAGTGTAACACAACACGTAACATAACATGTGACATACCATTTATATGACGTGTAACATAACACGTAACATAACACGTAACATACCATCTAAACTGACGTGTAACACAACACGTAACAAAACATGACGACTGACATACCATCTAAACTGACGTGTAACATAACATGTGACATACCATCTAAACTGACGTGTAACACAACACGTAACATAACATGTGACATACCATCTATATGACGTGTAACACAACACGTAACATAACATGTGACATACCATCTATATGACGTGTAAGATAACACGTAACATAACACGTAACATACCATCCAAACTGACGTGTAACACAACACGTAACATAACATGTGACATACCTTCTAAACTGACGTGTAACATAACATGTGACATACCATCTAAACTGTCGTGTAACACAACACGTAACATAACATGTGACATACCATCTATATGACGTGTAACACAACACGTAACATAACATGTGACATACCATCTATATGACGTGTAACACAACACGTAACATACCATCTCAACTGACGTGTAACACAACACGTAACATAACATGTGACATACCATCTAAACTGACGTGTAACACAACACGTAACATAACATGTGACATACCATCTAAACTGACGTGTAACATAACACGTAACATAACATGTAACATACCATCTATATGACGTGTAACATAACACGTAACATAACATGTGACATACCATCTATATGACGTGTAACATAACACGTAACATAACATGTAACATACCATCTACAATGACGTGTAACACAACACGTAACATAACACGTAACATAAAATGAGACATAACATAACATGTAACATACGGTCTAACATACCATGTAACGTACCATGTAGGTTCTCCAGCTCTCACTTTGCGACAGTACAATAATCCGACTTGCTTACAGGTCCCTTTTTTTCGACATTATTTTGCGGAATTGGATTTGAATCAGGTAGCACTTATTTAATGCTCATTTGTATAGTTCTAAACGCACAAAACGTTTACTGTTATTCTAACGTTTCCAGACTGCCAAGTGTAAGTACACTTGATGAACTGAACCTGATGGTAGTATATGATGGTAGTGGGTTCCAGTACTTGTAACCACGCCAATGCTGATCAACTTCCTCAGTAATCACGACTACGCGGGCAGTTAAACCCTAACTTCTCCTCCTCATAATAACTCTAGCAAAGTGACAGTGAACTTCAACGTGACCATCACAGTGAGCTTGCAGGATGTTGTTTCCAAATCTTAGTGGATTGAAATGTTTACTATCAAGTAAATTGATAGGATAATCACGGGATATGAACCTCTTATTGTCATCAAGTCCTCGTGCTCAAAGTTCGAATCGATTTTCTACGTATAAGTGTATCTAAACTGTGTTATTAGAGGTGACAAGAAGAAGGGGTGGTGTACGCATTGACAAAACGTCACCCGTGCCCGAACCATCACTACACATGCAAAATATACAACGGTTTCATTCTTCACACTACCTCCAGTGCTAGTCATAACGCTGGGAGTGTGATCCCACAATCGCTTTGCCAGCGGACCACTGACTTCGCAGTCTTCCAATAGCAAATACTGATCTCTACCTGCATAGTATTATCTCTGATCGTAATTCGATATCCTGTTGTCAGCCCGATTTGATATACTGGCGCTTTTACACAGATTTGTTGAGTCAATATCTTCATCGATATTACTAGACTTTAATAACTGGCGCATCCGCCAATGCCACACATTTGTCTGCAATAGGGATACACAGAACAAGAAACTACACGGTATGGTTTACTGTACATTGCCATTGCATGGAGATCATGTGCTCTGTAATCAATTAAACTCTGACAGAAATGAAATTTAATGCTATTTTAGTCAGTAATCATATTATATACATGAATATGATTATCACAAAAAGTGTATATCGGACTTTGCTTCTTAAATATCGGTATAACGTCCTTTGCTTTGACCACCCGTCCTTGAATGTTTTAATTGTATATTATCATAAAACATAATGGTCGATATCATTTATTAGAACGTTTACGAATATGACAGTTGGGGCCATTTGGTTAGTGGAATAAACGTAAAGATGGAGATTGGTGAGATTCATTGGCACGTTCTACTCCTCAAGTCATACAGACACACCTCTAGCGTAGCTCTATAGGCACACACACACACACCACAGCTCACTACAAGTCGTGTAGGAACACACACCACAGCTCACTACAAGTCGTGTAGGCACAAACACACACGACAGCTCACTACAAGTCGTGTAGACACGCCCACCCCCCACAGCTCACTACAAGTCGTATAGACACACACATCCACCACAGCTCATTACAAGTCGTATAGACACACACATCCACCCCAGCTCACTACAAGTCATGTAGACACACACAACCACCACAGCTCATTACAAGTCGTGTAGACACACACATCCACCAAAGTCTCATCAGGGAATTATTATAAACCAAACATACAACAAAGTCAGTTATAACGCATTTTTAATTCATGTTAACCCTAATTTATAGGGATAACGGTGTGCAGTGGAATAATATATATATTTTTCACTGAAAAACTATATCAAATACGTATATGTGTAAGTCTTCGACTACACTTAGACTGGTCTCTCACTCCTCAGAGCGCAATCCGCTTTGAGTGTAGTGGCCGGATGTTGACAAAGCAGTATACTTCCGGTGGGACTTTCACTTTGTGCCTAGCGTAAGCTATAACGCCTCGGCCCGTTCGCACCATACAAAACGAAATTCTAATGACACCTGTTCTCATTCATGAACCAAACTTACCACAAATAATTTGAGCCTCGATTCTATAACGCTACTATGATCCATGTTCATCATGTCAACTGCAATTTTGCATGGGCAGCGTAACTTCGTTCTATGAACTCTGCTCTCAATTTCTTCCGTCCCAAGATAGTGTATCCTGTAATGCTTGTTGTTAGAGCTCAGAAAGACATAACCTTGCCATCTCGTATCATAAAGAGTAGAAACCAGTTGATGTCCATTTTTAATACAGAAAAATTATGAACCAAACTTTATCCGATACACAATTTCATAAGGCATGTTTAATTTATGATGTTTATGTCACCTGTTTCCTTTGGGCACAGTAGCTCCACACCGAGGAACGTCCTGCTTCACTTATAAAGTACTTGTCCAGTGAACGTTTGCTGTTAAGAATAAGGGAATGTTTCTGTTTGCTATTTTGCACTATATCAGGTGATACCCGTTTTTGTTAAGGATATATTAAGAATCAAACTTATATAAAAGATTTCTTACGACAAAGATTTTAGTTGATACACAATTCTATAATTTAATTTCAATACATGTAATTTGTAATTTCTGTTGGCAATGTAGCCCTTTACTGATGATCAGGTTGTCAGTGATCTCAAGTTGTGTTGTACAAGTAACAATGTTTTCTGCGAATATTATTCGGCAAATCGTAGAAAGGTATTTCTTTTGTGTTTTTTTGTATCATACAAATTAGAAATCATCCTTTTAAGTTAAATGGGAAGGATAACTCCAGGTTGAACAATGGTCTCAAGTTTTATTTACTGATAAACTCCAATGGTCTTAGTGAACATCTGCTATGAGAATGCCGAAAGATATTTTCTTTTTGTGGCGTTGCACGATATCCAGTGGAAAACTTGATCTTCCATTCCATAACGCAATTATAATTAACTTCAAGTGTAGTTTGTATGGGCAGGATAACTTTGTGCTGATAACATTGTTCCTTAATCTCTTACGTTCTTAAGGTACAGTGATTCTTGTATATCAGGTGATACCCGTTTTTGTTAAGGATATATTAAGAATCAAACTTATATAAAAGATTACTTACGACAAAGATTTTAGTTGATACACAATTCTATAATTTAATTTCAATACACGTAATTTGTAATTTCTGTTGGCAATGTTGCCTTTTACTGATGATCAGGTTGTCAGTGATCTCAAGTTGTGTTGTACAAGTAACAATGTTTTCTGCGAATATTATTCGGCAAATCGTAGAAAGGTATTTTTTTGTTGTTGTTGTTGTATCATACAAATTAGAAATCATCCTTTAAGCTACATGGGCAAGATAACTCCAGGTTGAACAATGGTCTTAAGTTTTATTTACTGATAAACTCCAATGGTCTTAGTGAACATCTGCTATGAGAATGCCGAAAGATATTTTCTTTTTGTGGCGTTGCACGATATCCAGTGGAAAACTTGATCTTCCATTCCATAACGCAATTATAATTCACTTCAAGTGTAGTTTGTATGGGCAGGATAACTTTGTGCTGATAACATTGTTCCTTAATCTCTTACGTTCTTAAGGTACAGTGATTCTTGTATATCAGGTGATACCCGTTTTTGTTAAGGATATATTAAGAATCAAACTTATATAAAAGATTTCTTACGACAAAGATTTTAGTTGATACACAATTCTATAATTTAATTTCAATACACGTAATTTGTAATTTCTGTTGGCAATGTTGCCTTTTACTGATGATCAGGTTGTCAGTGATCTCAAGTTGTGTTGTACAAGTAACAATGTTTTCTGCGAATATTATTCGGCAAATCGTAGAAAGGTATTTTTTTGTTGTTGTTGTTGTATCATACAAATTAGAAATCATCCTTTAAGCTACATGGGCAAGATAACTCCAGGTTGAACAATGGTCTTAAGTTTTATTTACTGATAAACTCCAATGGTCTTAGTGAAAATCTGCTATGAGAATGCCGAAAGATATTTTCTTTTTGTGGCGTTGCACGATATCCAGTGGAAAACTTGATCTTCCATTCCATAACGCAATTACAATTCACTTCAAGTGTAGTTTTGTATGGGCAGGATAACTTTGTGCTGATAATATTGTTCCTTAATCTCTTATGTTCTAAAGGTGCAGTGATTCCTGTAATGTATGTTTTCAGAACTTTGAATGGTGTCTCTTTGCTTTTTCACATTATACGAACTGGAAACTAGTCGATGCTTACCTTCAATACTACAGACTAAACATTATTAGACACACTATTTTATAAGGCATTCTTGACTGATGATGCTTATGTCACTTGTAATTATGTGGACACAGTAGCTCCACACCAATGAATATGATGCCACTTTGCTTTATTGACAAAGTGCAATGTATCCAGCGAAGGTTTGCTGTTAGAATGTAAATGTTTATCTCTGTTATTTTGCACCATACAAAGTAAATTTGGGTGACACCTGTTTTTCGTTAAGGAAATAACACGAATCAAATTTACAACGAAGATTGTTTGATACACAATTCCTTAATGCAATTTCAGTGAAAGTAACTTCCAACTTCCATGGTGCATTGTAGACTTATTTTGAAGAACAGGTTGTCACTGCTCTCAGGTCTTTGTTGTATAAGTAACAATGTGTTCAACGAATATCATCCATTTTCACATACAACTGCATAATGCTTTTTTAACTTATGGGGGCAGGGTGAATCCAGGTTGACCAACATCGCCTCCAGGCTTTTTCTTTGTTTTTATACATTTTGTTTTCTGTCTTTTTACTTCTGTTTATTAACTAGAAATTCCACATTTGTAGGTACTTCATGCTATGCGTTAATCACTTCCAAAAATAACCATGTTGCCATAGACGTATTAATACTTATGAATACCTTTGACTTTGTCAAACATGACCATGGATAATAAAATTAAAATAGTGTCGGTAAACTGCAGGGGCCTCGGGGAGAAAAACAAGCGTAGAGAAATAATGAACATATGGAGAAAAAAATGTTGCTCAATTATTTGTTTACAAGATATTCACGTTGCTGAAAAAGATGAACTACTAATGAGAAACGAATGGGGATTAGAGTGTATTATCGCCCCTTATAGATCTAATGCAAGAGGGGTTGCCATTCTTTTTAATAACAATATTGAAGTCAAAATACATAGAACAATAAGATATCCTAATGGCAACTTTATTATTGCAGATATCTCAATTGATGGTATAAAATTTACCCTTTCAAATATTTACGGCCCAAACAATGATGACCCAACTTTCTATAAGAATTTTTTTAGAAATATCGATAGCCTTGAAAATGATTCTTTGGTCTTGTGTTGAGACTGGAACTTCGTACTTGAACCATCAATAGATCTAGAGAACTATCGGCATGTTAATAACCCTAAAGCCAGGCAAGTGGTCTTAGATATGATAGAAAATTACGATTTGTTTGATATTTGGAGACAATATAACCAAGGCTCTAAATGTTTTACATGGTGGAAAAAAATCCTAGACAGCAGGCTAGGTTGGATTTCTTTTTACTATCACAAGACTTGGCAAATCTTACAATAGAATGCAATATTCTCCCAGAATACAAATCCGAACCATTCAGCAGTTATAATATCAATATCAAATACTTTGTCTAAAGAAAAAGGTAAGGGTTATTGGAAATTTAATACCTCTTTATTACTCAATAAAGATTATGTTCAAAAAGTCAATACAATTTTGAAAGATATGAAACAAGAATATCTCAATAGGAATATATATCAAGAAATACAAGATATTAGCGACAAAAACCTTGAATTAACCATTAGTGACACTTTGTTTCTGGAAACATTTCTTATGAAAGTTAGAGGCGAATCCATATCTATGTCCTCATTTCTGAAGAAAAGACCGCCTCCGTGGTGTAGTGGTTAGAGCGTCCGCCCGGAGAGCGGAAGGTCGCGGGTTCGATCCCCGACCGCGTCATACCAAAAAGACGTTAAAATATGGTACTTGTTGGTCCCTGCCTGGCGCTCGGCATTAATGGGTACAACAAGGACTGATCGGCTCGGAGTCAGTATAATGTGTCTGAGTGGGGTATTCATGCTTCACTGCGGTATGGTATCTCAGTGGGCTAGCACTATAAAACCAGCTTAAGTCTGGGCTAGTACAAGCAGCCGCACATACACATGCACATGCATGCACGTCGTCATATGAGCGAAATATTCTCAAGCACGACGTAAAACCCAATTTCACTTCACCTCTGAAGAAAAACCGGTGCCGTAAAATTGAACAGTTGGAAGATAGAATATGCGAAGTTGAAAACGAAACTAGGGGGGAACTTTTAAAATATAAGGGAAGAAAAACTAAATGAACTTACAAAACTTCAAGAAGAAATTGAAAAGTTAAGGGGAGAAGTAACTAGAGGGATTCAAATAAGGAACAGAATAAAATGGTATGAGGAAGGTGAAAAGCCGACAAAATACTTCTGTCATTTGGAAAACCGAAATTACACAAGCAAGTTGATTAATCAATTAATAGATGATAAAGGAGAAATAATATTAGATGGTAAAAAAATCCTAGAAGAACAAAAAAACAGTTTTATAAAAATCTGTATTCCCAAAGTGATAGAGCTTCAGAAAAGGAAATTCAGGATTTCCTCTCAAAAATTCCAGTTCCTTCTTTAGATAAACAACAAAGAGACAATTTGGAAAAAGAAATTACATTGGATGAAATTTCAAAAGCAGTAAAAGGAATGAAAAATAACAAAAGCCCCCGGGTAGACGGCTTTCCAATATAATTTTTTAAGTTTTTCTGGAAAGAACTAAAGGTTTGGGTGCACAGATATATCAGTGAATCACTTTATAACGGCTGTTTGAGTTTGAACATTAACAGAGGAATTATAACTTGTCTGCCTAAAGGAAACAAGGATAGATCTTATCTTAAAAATTGGCGACCAATCACCCTTTGAAATTGTCTGTACAAGATTATTAGCACATGTATCACTAAGAGAATGAAGACTGTTTGAGATCTTTTGATACACGAAAATCAAACAGGATTCATTCCAGGGAGATCTTTAGCGGATAATATACGATTAATGTACGATATCATCCTGGAAACAAAATCTAAGAATAAGAAAGGTATGCTACTATCTATAGACTTTGAAAAAGCCTTTGATTCTGTGTCAAAAATAGCTATACTTAAAGTTCTGGAAAGGTTTAGCTTTGGTCCTCAGATGATAAAGTGGGTACACATTTTGATAAGCAATGCAACCTCCTGTGTCATACAAAATGGCCATCTCTCTTCATTTTTTGACAATGGTAGAGGCTGTAGACAGGGGGACCCAATCTCCCCATTGTTTTTTCCTTTTTGTAGCCGACATACTGGCCACTTTGATTAGACACAATAGTACGATTAAAGGCATCTATTTAATAAACATAGAACATAAATTAGGGCAGTATGTTGACGATACACAGCTTTTTTTGGACGGCTCAGAAGAAAGCCTAAGAGCTGCACTTAATACTTTGGAAAGTTTTTACTATTATTCAGGATTAAGAATGAATTCAGATAAAACTAAGGCAATATGGCTTGGTCAATGATTGGAAAGAATATTAAAGTGTGCGAAGATGTTAATCTAGATTGGATTCATGGTGACTTTGAAGTTCTTGGTATTCAACTAAACGCAAATTTAGAAAAACTGTGGGTTATCAACACCAGAAAAAGACTAGAAAACATTAAGAGATTACTAGCAAATTGGCGTAAACGTAAATTGACACTAATTGGAAAAATAACTGTGATAAAAACCTTAGCATTATCTACTCTTGTTCACATATTCTCTGCTCTGCCGCAACCACCCAAAGAATTTGTTGATGAACTAAGTTCAATTTTTTAAAGTTTATTTGGAACTCTAAACCTGATAAAATTAAACGGGCGAATTTGACAAGAAGCTATGAAAATGGTTGATTGAGAATGGTAGATATAAATGTGTTCATATCATCGCTGAAGCTCAGTATCCTGAAAAAAAGCATGTTTAAGAACCTCTATAATAGCCACTTTCCTTTAAAACTCCTTTTTCAACTGGGTGCCCATGTATCGTCTTACAGACTTTGTAAAATTGATAACCCCTACTGGCAGGATTTGATATATATTTGGAGTAAATACTATAGATCTCATTTGACAGATGCAAGAAATATTCAGGCTATTCTAGCTGAACCGATATGGTTTAATCACTAGTGTACAGACTCAAATTTTATTATAGAAAACTGGTTCGGTAAAGGAGTGCATTATATAAGATACCTATGTGATGAGAATGGACTCTTATCCTTTGTAGACTTGAAAAAAAAATTCAACCTCAAGGGTACTTATCTGGACCATCATCGAGTTGTTAGTAATCTCCCTAAAGAATGGATAAAGGTGATAGACAATTCTAAACCTATATGTGTCTACGATCTTAGGATGAATAACTTTCTAATGGAATGGACTAAACCAGCAAAGGGATCTCGGAAGATATATGATATACTTGTGCAAAATAATTATCTCCCTATTATTTGTAGTAAATGGCAACAAATGTTCTTAACTGACTTAAACTGGAAGGAAATATTTAGTCTTCCTAAACAATGCTGTAGGGATATCAAGCTACAAGATTTCCAATATAGATTTTTGCATCGCATTATATACACCAAAAAGGAATTATTTAAAATGAAGCTGATCGACAAGAGTATTTGTCAAAGATGTAACAATGACAACGAATCGATTGTGCACGTATATTTTGAATGTCCACAGGTTAGTCATTTTTGGTACAATCTGGAACAATTTTTGAGACAACATCTGTGTTATGAGATTCAGTTTAATCTTAAATCCATCCTCTTTGGTATCCAGGGGACCGCAAACTTCAAACTGGTGAACCACATTCTTTTGGCCGGAAAAAGATATATATACATAAGTTGTATTAGAAATGGTTCTCTATCTTTCAAATCTTTTACTGCTACCTTGAAAGATATTTTTCAAGTTGAGAGATATGTTGCTAGAATAAAAAAACAACTAAATGAATGTATGAGTAAATGGCTACCACTACTCACAACATGGACCGATGTGTCATGACTCTTCAACATGCTTAAAGTAGAATTTTGAGATCGCGAATTACAATATGTGTCAATCCTAGGATGGGAAAAGATATACATATTTAATGCATAAGCTGTATTAAAAATTTAATATTGACCCTAAAATCCTCCATCGCTTCTTTGAAAGATATGTTGCCAGAATGAAAAACCAGCCAGACGAATGTGGAGTAAGCGGGCACCCATTACACAACATGGTCTGGTGTGTTATGACTCTTCAATGTATACAATCTATGATCTTTGTGCAGTAATACTTGAATGTATCTACTCATGTTTGAAGACTGATGTGTTGTGAACTGTCAACATGTACAAGCTTGTATTAGGCATGACATCTATATAATAATGTATGAATGTTTCTACCTCTTGGTTACCCAGAAGGATGCGGTGCTGTTATGAAAATGAACCCAGGAGCAAACAAGCAATATTACTGATAGCACCGACTTACCTAATTGCTCAAGCTTAGACGATCCGCAATTATACAACTTTGTTTGGATGATATTCGTATAAAACGATTGTAACAAGATATGTCACCTGTCAACATGTATGACTTTTGTAAAAAGTGAATGTACCTACTGATGTGAATAAAAAATGTTTAGTGCTAGAACAACTACCACAATTCACACTTTGTGCGGGGATTCATGTAACTTCCAACCCGGCAGTGAAAGGCTTCGGCAAACTCAACTGAGTTTTGACATGCGCCAATGATTCTGTAAAAGAAAATGAAAATGATTAAACATCGGACAATTAGGTGAACAAAATAGACCCGCATGACAAGAGAAATATTACACACAAAAAGAACTGGAAATTATTAATATAAAACCGACGTACGCTCTGCATGAGATATAGCCTTATGTGTTGGCAAGTAAGGGCATGTTGGTGACAAATATCAGCGGTACAGAGACAGTTACTTCGAACAATTACAAAATGTCTACAAAGGCCCACTCACTCTGCCGTCAATTTTGCAATCCAAAAACCCCCAAGTTGTATACTGCACAGCACTATTTTTACATTATGTTTTTAAAGTAAGATCCCAATACAAATTATGACCACTGTTTCACGAAACTGCCAAACTGCCAAATACTTGTAGACTGTATTATAGGCCATGAGGCCGATATTACGAATAAACTTCTGTGGGTCTGTCTGTCTGGTGGTTTGAGTGTCCAGTGTTGCATTAGTGGTGGGCGTTACCTGTACATGTTAGGACTGTGGACATCCGACCTGATGGCAGCCTCCAGACCCTCGTCCCTGTAGCTGGCGCACCATGACTGTCCAAACACCACCATAGACTTTAGAACGGGGAATACGTGGGCGTATTAGATGAGTAATCTATATGACATGATCTATCTCAACAACCAAGAAGTACCTATCTTCGGTAAATATGGCTGTTTTCTCAGTTAATCAACAATTACTTTCCGTCATGTTTGATATACTGTGCTACTCTAGTTATATACGAACACTGCCTAAGCATGAATGTGATGGACAGGGAAATATTAGATTCACGTCCACGAGAAAACGATAAGTATATTTCCCGCTATACCTAATAAAGTATGATTCATTCTCACCCTGAACCAAATGGAAGACGGCCATTACGTAGTCGCGTTATCTGATCCACGTGATTAGTCTCATTAAGCGGAAACATTGTGACATTGCCATTATAAGATTTATAATTGACGGATGAATTCCCGGTTGCTGAGAACACTCAGTCTGTTAGTTCCACATATAGAAATATTGTATGTGCGACGTTAAGAAGAGCTGCACATGTTACCTGGGCATAGCTGATGAAGAACACCTGGTCTTGACTGAGGCCCAGGAAAGGCAGCAGGGGCTCATCTTCCTGGAGATCGTGGACAAGATTGCGATATGCCTGCGTCAGAAAAATGTATTGCATTGTATTGAAGACGGAATAAATGAGAGGCTGGTATAATTTATAGTTACGGTATTATCGGTGTCTAACATATGCTGACAGAAACAAATAAAGGAACACAGGAAAATTTGAGCGTTCCTTTAATATATTCCAGTTTTTAGCACAGCTTTGAATAGCGCTGTGGGAGGAAATCTGAGAATAAATGAAGAACACTGCTATTAAGTGGTGTTCCCTTATTTGTTTCCCTCAGTATATTTCCCAAACCAGAAAGGCACAGGGGAGTTAGTCGCGTGGTAAAGAAATCGTCAACGTAATTATAATTACACTGACACGAAATCCTGAATCTGGAATGTGTCCTGATCACTAGTGACTGAAACACACCCGTCTTGACATCCCCACTTTGTGGACACACCTTGTGCAATACGCTCAACACACATTCAGCCTAATGTGTCACTGGGGATCATTGGTCCTAAAAAACGCCTAATATGAGGAACTTTAGGGATCAACAATTTAATCATGGATAGTTGGCGGTCGGAGATGTTTTAGGCAGGTTATTGTTAAGCCAGTGCTACCAGAAGTTCACAGTTTCGTCTGAGAGGAAAAGGGCGGTGGGTGTGGGTGGAGCTTGCAAGCAAACATACTAGCTGTTATTCAGTATTTTCGGGAACAGACTTTACAGAGGAAATCATGCTCAACCCCAACCACTCAACCACTACAGAGTGAATATGGTTGTACGCCGCTTTTACGCCAATATTCCAACAATATCACGACAAGGCACACCAGAAATGGGCTTCACACATTGTACCCATGAGGGGAATCGAACCCGGGTCTTCGGCGTGTCGAGCCAAAGCTTTAACCACTAGGCCACTCCACCGCTCGAGCCAACCACTACATAGATTGACCGCGAATGAACAGACTCTCTGACATGGCTAATTAATTGTGAGGGTCGTAGTTCGTGTTGCCTATGATTGACATGTCTCCATCACAGAGCTCAAATATTGAGGAAAGAGGCATATATTCACTGACTAGTCAACCTTGGTTGCATCAACCTCACCTACCCGATAAGCTTGCTTTATTCCACCACAGTCAGCAATGTTTTCACCTTGTGTGTTGATCCCGTTCACCTACAAGACACAGAGAAGTCGCATGTTCTCCCGCATTCTCAGCCATAAAATTTAAAACCTTAAACATTTTCTTGTTCATGTTTGCTACTTACCGACATGTTGACTGAAGCCACGTTGAACTGAGAGTATTGGTCTACGAAACATTGAGCTTTATCTTTAAAGGCTTTAACGACATCAGCACTCCACCACTCAGCGAGGTTGCCATTCTTGTCGAAAAGTCGGCCTTTGGGATACAAAATCCACGGTCAGTCATTTCACGGCAATCCCTTGAGGTAACAACAAATAGCGGATTGCTAAAATACATCTAAATATGATGCTCAGTTTTCGTCTCCAGGGAGCACGGAAGATGTTGGGTAAAAGTGCACCACTTATGTCTCATACGACACGTGAGATTAAAAACTTGCATAGACCAGGAAGCCCTGTCGCCCTACCTACGTCGTCGAAGCCGTGCGTCAACTCGTGTCCAAGTACACTTGTCACATAGGCCCCGTAGTTCACGTACCTGAAACAGTGTCAGCAACTTTCACCCTCACGGCTTCATAAATTTGCAGATTTTCTTTTTTATAGGCGTGACACAACTCTCCCTCAATTTACAGGAGAAAACGTCTTATGCAATCTGCAAACGTAGTTACATATTTATTTGGACAAACATCCAACTTCCGGTGAAATACAAGGGGAGACAATCCTCGAATTTCATAGTGCAAAATTGTTACTAATTAAGAAAAATAAGTATGATCAAGTACCGGTCCCTCAACACTACAATAACACTACTATAGCTAGTGTTGTAGTTATGGCTGTAACGACCATCTTAGCGATACAATTGCTTACTTATTTAATGAAGATGTTCCTTTCAATCAACATGACATTAACATGGGCAGATAGTACCTTTTGCGGAAAACATAGCACAATCTGAGGGAGATGAAGAAGGGTGAGGCCTACCAGAGGAAAGGAAACTTACTTAGGCAGGCCCGGGGAGTAGAGGGGAGGCTGTAACAGGGCAGCCATCAGGACTGAAATATAAACAACACACAGTTATAGGTAGCATCTAACACACCATCGCCATGACAACGGTGTAACCATGTACAAGGTCATTGACACTTGCACTGGTAGGACATAGGCTGTGACATGGGCTGTGACATAGAATATCTGCACCGCAGTAGGGAAGACTTGATGTCCTGTCCAGGAACCTGAGGTGGGTGATTGAATATAATAATTCCAGGTAGCAGGACATCGTAGTACCAACAAGTATAGCTTGTATATGCAGAAAGAACACCTTTTACAGTAGCCAGTGTGATTGCAGACATGTATGTACACTAAGTTTTACATCCTAATTCAATATCAACAATTCGGCAATGATCTCCACGTCACTTTGCCTATTCAATTATCTTTTTTCAATAGTATAACATCTGATCTAATTTTTATCGTCATCTTGCTTCATTTTGCGCTCAGTTTGTCCACAGGAGCTTGACATGTTTCTGTTTATTCGCTGTAAATGTATCAAGTCACATGTGTAATGGGTTGTCGACGTGAGATGATTCATAAGATCTTCCTCCAGGTCACAGGGGCGGTGGGGTAGCCTAATGGTTAAAGCTTTGGCTCGTCATGCTGAAGACCCGGGTTCGAATCCCCACATGGGCACAATGTGTGAAGCCCATTTCTGGTGTCCCCCGCCGTGATGTTGCTGGAATATTGCTAAAAGCGGCGTAAAACCAAACTAAGTCAGTCAGTCCAGGTCACAGATTCTCGATGTTGGCGTGTCAAGGTTTCCTGGAAGGTCAGGAACTGTTTCAACTGAACAAGACGAAGTTTCTCTCTCCTGCCACCTGTGAGGATGTCCTTTCAGTGAAAAGGAATGAGTTCTTGTGTGTTTCTGAATTCTTTACCCACTGAAATATTGACTGGAAGGTCGAAGTCCAGCTGCATCTCGGCATGGTTCAAATCCTAGGTTTGGGGCAGCGCAAGGCACCTGTCCGTGGTTAAAGAGTCTCTTGCCATCTGGAATGTCGTGCACAAAGTCAAGACATCTTGAAGGTCTGTCAGTCTCAGGTCTGTTGCCCACGTGTAACAGTACGTCTACTTTAGAGGTACACGTGCAGGGGCAGTTCAGTCACAGCACAGTAACATCCATGATCAAAACTTAATACTAGTTTTACCCAATACTCTCTATTTACTTTTAAGTTAACTCAGAAAGTGTTTCCTACCCAAAGATATATAAAACCTTAACATTTAAAAACGCTTTACTAAAAACCTTAACAGTCATAAATGTCGGCGGTTGCAAGCGACTTGCCTCAGTGATCCGATCCAGTAGTTGTACCGTTCCCTCGCCGTTTTTCAATGGCTTGATTTCAGTGTTTGGCAAACATTGATGTTCCGCCACCGTAATGGAATACTAGGTAGCATTAATGTTCAGTTATTGAAACTTGCGACTGTTTTAACATACAAGCAGTCTAACCAGTCAGAAATATAGATCTACAGGATTTCCGTGCAGCGAACACCTACCCATTTCATTACTGGACGGGTTGTAGTAGGCATTTACCGTCGAGGGAGACATCATCCATCTGAAAATGATGTAAACCATTCATGTTAACATATGTGAGTGAGTGTGGTTTTACGCGTCTCCGGTGATATTCCGGCACTATAACTGCGTGAGATAGCGGAATTGGACACACATCACTCGCATGTAGGGAATCGAACACGGCCCTTGGGTTTGCGCTTCATTCACAAGCTATCACTGTCCCTGGCAGATGAAGCAGTGGTGTAGTCAGTGTGATGTTTGTTTGTGCAATGTTGTACATACCACCATCATAACCAGCAAGAGTTTTGTGAGGGTCATCAGCGAATAACCAGATCCTTACACGGTCACTGGACACAAATCTTCACAGCGATTTGCTGCAACTTACACATATGGGCCTTTCGTTCCCCCCTAACGAATAAAACACATGATATAAGTCGGAGATTTGGTATTCAGACAAATATGACATAAGTAACAACAACTAAAATGAAGAAATGTGTATTGAATTCACAAATATTAAACAACTATTAAGGCCATAAAAAAATAGTCAGTATGACATAGTACCCGCTACACGCCAATCCGAATGATTTCAATAGCGAAAGCCAGTTCGGTTTGACAGACTCTCACTGTATATTAAGCACGGTTCTTGCAGTCAGTCGGATATAATTTAAATTCCCTTGGTAGGTCAAGAAATGTAACAAATGAGAATTTTTATGTCATAATACATTGGAGCCAGAAACACCATTTGATCTTTCGGGCCCAGACATATAAATAAAGTGTAAATGGCTAGCTCTCCGACTGCATCCCTTGATTGCCTGGTGTACTCTCCAGTCTCCTGTCATAAATAGTCAGGTCTGAGTCCTGATTTCTGCTGACCAGCTGGCTGGCCTTGTCCGCAGACCGACCAAAGACGTACAGCCATGACGTACGTCTTACACTTGGCACGCTTATGATAATATTGATTAACTAGTTTCAAGTGTCACTAGCTGGACATGTAACAAGCTGAATCTTTTTGTGGCAGACCCATCACCTCGAAAACCAGGATCCCGAACACCTCTGTAATGACATAGGTCACCCAGGCCTAAAGAAAGAACTAGTCTCAGTAGGGCTAAAAACATCGACAAACCTTCTCCATGTTCATAAAAAAATTCTGTCAAAAGGAGAGTTGCTTCAACGATTCAGACTATGTCACGAACATGTGCTGGTAAATTACTCTCACATATATTGATGACACTAAGTCAGCAAATTCTGCCCCATCGTTGACACAATTGGTCTATTTGCAAGCATGTTATGATGCAGTGTTATACGTTCTACAACGATGTTTCACCTGTTATACATTGTACCTGTAAAGTCGGGGTCTATATTTAGACATGTACTATATTTAGACAGGGTGCTGGAATGTACTAGAACCCTCCTCGGATGCAGAGAACATCATAGAAGTTTCTGGCAACATATTATTTAACACCCCCAACCCCCCACCCCCCAAAAAATAAAAAATTATTGTGTATATATTTATAGGTTCTAGCTGTTGCCTCTCATCTCACATTACATATTAAATTACAAATTACCAGAAGACCAGTATTATGTGTAACGACCAGTATGCCCTGCCAGACCTCGTTGCAAGCTGGACTACTGTCACTGAGAGGGGAATATTCCCATCATTGTCTTATTGCTGTAATCACTGCTCTTATGGCATACTGCCTCTGAATTCCAATAACCACTCTGTATATTTAGGACTGCCACAGTGGTACCTTTGTACTGAATTTGTATTGCTTGGAATGAGTCCTCCTCGTCTGTCCACAGTGCAGCAGTTACTTACACTGACTTGTCTGTCGGTTTCAGCAGTTTCCGCCATTCCATGGATGTTCGCATCCTCTTCCCAGCCACAACATTGTGGAAATATTCTCCCTCCTGGACTTCAAACTGTGGGTGGGAGAACGACAGCGCTAAAAAACTCAAATGTATTTTCTCACTATACACTCAATACTGTCTCAGATGGACCAGTTATTGCATTTGTGGATCATGGGTCACTTGTCATCTGGAATGTCAGTGATGGTTCAGTTGCTCCTAGTATGCTTTCATGTGTATCACATATAGGATGTGTTTAGTTTAGCTCATGAATGGGACATTTAGTGTATCACATAGAGAATGTGCTTATTGTATCTCATAAATGGGACATTTAGTGTATCACATATAGAATGTGCTTATTGTATCTCATATATGGGACATTTAGTGTATCACATATTGAATGTGCTTATTGTATCTCATAAATGGGAATTTGGTGTATCACATATAGAACGTGCTTATTGTATCTCACACATGGGAATTTGGTGTATCACATATAGAACGTGCTTTTTGTATCTCACAAATGAGACATGTAGTGTATCACATTCTTGTATATCATGGATGTGCAGTCTGTGTATCACTTTGGTTGTTACATTTAGTGTATCACAGGATGGGACATTCACTGTGTACCACAGGATGGGACATTCACTGTGTATCACAGGATGGGACATTCACTGTGTATCACAGGATGGGACATTCACTGTGTATCACAGGATGGGACATTCACTGTGTATCACAGGATGGGACATTCACTGTGTATCACATACTGATGTTTCTTCAGCTGATGCATTCCACACGGAGTGTGACCTTATCATTTCATGACGTGTGATTCTGTATTACAAATGTAATCATATTTATAATTATTCATAACTAGTTTAAAACATAAACTAACATTAACTTTGTTACAAATATCATGCTTCATCCAGATTACCATAGTGTGGCATACAGATAATGAAATAACGCGAGACATCTGGTCCATCACACGACATATCATTAGGATTACAAAATACAACAAAACATAAGTTCTAGCATCAGTTTGGTTACATTATTTTGATTACTTCACGTTTCATACCCGCGAGGAGAGAAAGTTTGAGCTACCTACTGGGTACATGTTGTCCAGGTACGTGTTGTTATATATCTCATCGGGATATCCGATCTTGCTCGTCATGCTTGCTAGCTGCAAGCAACGCATACAAATATTCTCTGTGAAAATGGGAAAACCGTAGCTCCACGTACATGTACCGAGAACCATATCATTTTTTCTGTAGAGCCATAATGCTTAATTGTTAAAACTGTTTACTTAAGTCTTGAAGACCCGAATGACACATAATATCCAGTCATGTTCGACACAATAGAATATGTGATGGTATCTGGTGCAAGCAGCCATTCGTAACTTACCTTGTCCCTAGCTACGTCTTTCGTCTGTTCGTCCATCCATGTGATGTCATCAAGTTTCTGTCTGAAGGCAGCTTTAACGTGCAGTATAGCTGCGGCCACCTGCAGTGTTTATATTGTCAATTTGGGATGATTCGCACACTAGTGTTGGGAATATTCAAAATATTTTTGACCACTTAGAAAATGTTTAACTGATACAAAAAGTATCACACATTGTGCACGATATAAGAACAATTCTACACCAGAATGAATGAAGAGGACGGGCATGTTAAGGTTTAAACATGCAATCAGCTAGGATACCACAGACGGTATAACGGCCATATCTGTAGTCACAACGTACATCGTTCTTCGAGTTGGGCAGAAAGTGTTCTTGTACAAACATCCTTCCGACCACATAGGGCATGAAACCATCTACGACTTGCAGACAAAAGCGCCACCGGGGAGGAAGTGACGTCACGCCAGTGAGTACCTGCACACGAAATAACGCAACAACGTTAGGCTACATTGTATATTGTGTATTCCCAACCATCACAGTTTACACTATCGTTGAATTGATATGTCAAGCTCGACATGAAGTGAGAGACTAACATGTACTCTCAGATTTTACTGAAAAAAAGTTTATATATTATCACAGTTAAGTCTAATAAAATAGAGCCAAGTGACCTTCTTCATTTTCTGAAGCTGCAGTAATCTAGACTTGCCAAATATAAAGTAGAGACTTCCATATACTGGATTGGAAAAATATGTTTCTAGGCCTGTTTGACAGACTTATGGACAGGTGTCAGTGAACTTGTGCCATGTATGGTCATTTTCTGGGATGGATACAAACCTCTTTGAATTCCTCTTCATAAGTTTGGAAAACCTGCGGTAGAGCCGTCATCTGTTTGCGTATAAATCTCCACACAACATAATTCTGGATCACTCTTAAATAAAGATGCATGTAGATGCTGTTCATTAACGTGAAGAGACCATGTTTGTCAACAAGGCTGTATGTACAAAATCGAACTCTTCCATTTCGTCCAGTAACTTAATCAACGATTGCCAACATTGCCAAGAAACCATATTCAACCGATCTCTGTGAATGTGATCACCATCAAGGACCTTCGCTCAAGTTTGCAAAGTTTGAGAGGAAATTGTAACGCACAGTCGTATTCAAACGTACGCTTAAAATTCCCCAACAAATGTTAAGAATACGTGAATTACAGAGCCATTACCCAAGTAATGAATTACATTACCCAACTACAAGCATTACCTATGCGGAGTATTTTGTAGCAAGGGACCAAGCTGTTGGAAGTAACTCTGAGCAAAGTCTATAACATCGTCCTTTTTTCTGATACTGACTCCAGCACTGCCCGTCGCAAGTTGTAGTAATGACAGCCAGTTGATCTGAACAGAAATATAACACTGTGGTACTGTTTACAACGGCTCTACGAGGCTACACAATATGTTTATATGCTCAGCTGTCTGTTTTATCGGGAGGACAAAGGACTGGAGTATACTGATTACTACGAGGTCAAACATCTTAGTTTGCATTCAGTAGGATGCTTTTGTACAGGTACATAAATCAGGTAATAGGATGCTTTTGTACAGGTACATAAATCAGGTAATAGGATGTTTTGTACAGGTACATAAATCAGGTAATAGGATGTTTTTGTACAAGTGCATAAATCAGGTGATATGATGTTTTTGTACACATGCATAAATCAGGTCATGGGATGTTTTTGTACAGGTGCATAAATCAGGTCATAGGATGTTTTGTACACGTGCATAAATCAGGTAATATGATGTTTTTGTACACGTGCATAAATCAGGTCAAAGGATGTTTTTGTTGTGTTGGAAACCTACTTACCCCTGGGTATAATCTCGACATTTCCCCAACAGTCCTCTTGGTGTATAATACATTATAATCCCGCCTCTGTTCCATTGGCGTTGTTATCTGAAGTACATTTGTTTACATTTTGCGTGGAATGCCAATAACTCATGGATGTTATCTAGATATATACAGAATTCTCAAAGACATATACAGAATTCTCATAGATATATACACAATTCTCAAAGATATATACATAATTCCCAAAGATATATACACAATTCTCAAAGATATATACACAATTTTCATATATAAAAACACAATTCTCAAGAAAATAATTCAGAAAGTAAGTCTGTATATAGTTTATTACAATGAAATATATATCTGAACACTTGCAAATACTGCAGAACGTCAGAATCTCTGGTAAGTACTCACATGAGCTAAATTCATCTCGAAGTCTATCAAGTCGTCAACATCAGTATCAATGGTGGTTTGAGCAGCCCCTAGCTCAGTGGCAACATCCCTGATGAACTGTTTGTAGGCCACCACGTACTTGTCCTGTACACCGTTCAGGTAATAGCGCCGGTTGGGCAACCCCAGCCAGGTTTGGTCCAGCTAGCAACATATAGCACTTGCGGTTATCATTTGACGACCATCTGATATTTAAAGCAGTCTACACTATTTCATAAAGCTGCACATGACCATCGCTACATCCTGGGGAATCTCATGGTGATCCCAGATAACCTACGCCTAAGAATGGATCGGAGGTCGGCTCATTGGTTCTTGCTGTCGGTCACGTGTTTTCCTGATGCAGGCAAGGATATACAGGAAGCCGAGAAGGCATACTGCCGTCTGTGTCCTTGCGAACTCTTGGAGAGCTGAGTGTTGATGTAGAATCAAATTTGATGACAAGGCTGTAACGGGTTCTACTTTTAGTTGCGGCAGGTTACAAACTGTCGTCAGTACACCTCGGCGGGTATAAAGGAACTGAAAAGTGTAACTAAATTGCCAAAACTCACGTAAATGACCATCCGTGATGAATTCTTTAAATCCTCTGACACTGTTATGGTGACAAGAACGTTCATGAAATCTTTAGTAGCTGTAGCTATCAATTCTTCTAATGTAATGGGCAGGTTATCTCCCCTTTGCAGCAGTGGCCACCCGCCATACTGGCTGAGGAATTGAAGAACGGGGACCGTTCCTTTGGATTCAATTGTATCTGTAAACATATGGCAGTGTATATATACTTTTGCTATCTGTCTGTATGTGTTTCTATATGTTTGTCTGTCTATCTATTCCTAGCTTGGTAATACCTTCATCCACACATGTGTTGTACAGAGCCCGCACTCTCTGCATGGACTCGGGGTCTCCCACAGAACCTTCAGCCTCCATCAGATCTGAACAGCAAGAGTCGATACTGCAATGACGCTAGTAAAGCAATAGAATGCACGAGTACACATTACACCGGATACGTTTTAGAACGATCTTGTCATTCGTGGAGTTGATGAATATGCGCAGATGATGTTTTGTGTTAAAATGCAATATGTGGTTAGTTTTTTGTCTTAACGACTCATAGACACGTTGGTGCTGTCGGCCATTGGAGAATAAAGCGAGATCATGCCGCACATAAACCACGTGTGCATCTGACCTCTGAGTTGGTGCTGGACCACGTCGTGGAGACGTGACAGAGCGTCGTAGGATGACCGGTCATCTGGGATGGCGTGGCTCCGTACCCAGCCCCCACAGGAATACTCAAAGAAGTCTTCACATGGGTCGGCGCTTCTGTTCAGGCGACTCAAGACCTGGTTCGCTGTCCAACAAACCAGGAGAGTGTTGTGAATTGGATTTTACGTTGCCTTGAACAGTATTCTGGTAACATCATGGGTTTCAGTTGGAAATGGAAGGGATACCCCAAAGGTACATAGGTTAAGGACTTGGATTATAGCTTCCTGACACACCTATGTTACGCTATTCTGCAATTTGAAGTTCCCATCCAGGTAAAATGAAACTTACAAAAGTAGATTAGATCCGTTTTATTTCAGATACAAAACCGCAAAATATATAGATGTACACATTCTTTAAGCCTGGGAAAGTGACAGTTCTTTCCGTAATTGTTTTTTGGTAAACCAAAGTTCAATACTAACACAGATATTACTGACACAGTCATTTAACATTCATACCGTGCAAAGTAAATATACTGACCGTGTTGTATACACTCCTTTGTGAGGCACATCCCTGAAGAAACAACACAATAACCAAATCATCAATAAAGCATCTACAGTGATAGTTTTATGATAGTGGAGTAGATCGCCTGCAGCAGTAATACCATGAGGAGTAACTGGACAGATGAATTTCATCATAGTAAACGAAGATGAACATGGGAATACCGATACCAAATCTGATTCTGTCGAGAGAGCAGCTACTTCATAAAAAAGAAAACATGGGTGACGGAAATAGTTAATAAAATAAAGATAAAATGTAATTTAAAGTTTATGTTAAATTTATATAAACAAGTAAAACCTGACAAATATAGAAGTGTCATACCCGGAGTGTGTTGTCGTCGCTGCCTTTCATCAAATCGTCGTGTTTCCTCTGACAGAGAAACAATCGGACAGTCATACATGAACACTCTTTGCCATGTTCTGGCAGGCACGTTTGTTCATACTTCTTAACACATAGACCCATAACTTAACTCTAACGAAAAAACCCAACCCAAACCCATGAAGAAATATGCTCACAATAAAATTAGGCACGTTATAGCGAGAAATGCGTGGATGAGTATGGTCTTACGTCACTTGCGACACTGTTCCAGCCTCATAACAAGCATAACTACACACTGTACTTACCTAGAGTGAGTGAGTTTAGTTTTACGCCGCAATCAGCAATATTAACACTATTTGACGGTGGTCTGTTAGGAATCGAGTCTGGACCAAACAATCCGGTGATCAACATCATGAGCGTTGTTCCACGCAATTGGGATCGATACGATGACAAGTGTCAACCAAGTCAGCGAGTCTGACCACCCGATCCCGTTAGTCGCCTCTTACGACAAACCTGGGTTGCTGCAGATCAATTTTAACCCGGATCTTTTTTTAACTTACCTAGAGGACCGTAGACACACCGATGAACAGTGTGGAAACTGAAAAAAATACCACACAAAAATATGATTCAAGAGTCACTTCTCAAAACAACGACTTTTAATGCCCGATATATGTGATGTTTCCATGTATCATGCAAGATAAAAATGTCCTGGACAAGAGCCAGTTTGGTGCATGTCTGAGTATGGGTGACTTCTCAATGTCCAAGACGTACAACATCCTACCTTGCACAGCTCTGCAGGAAGACAAGCGCGACTCCGAGAGAGGACAACATGGCGGCAATCACTGTTATGGTGGTTGTAAAACGAAGGCAGGATCCTAGGACGTTTCGGGAGACTAACTCTCAAATGTCAAGAATAATTGACTTGGGGAAATGTCAGCAGTTGAGTACGTGAATGATGTGTGTATCTAAGGCTATCAGTATTCTCAACACGAGATGGGAAGCAGCTCGACATGTGCCGTGAAAAGTGTAATTTCAAACATTTAGTGAATAATTGACTTCACTTTATGTGAGTTCATTGGAGTGTGAGCCTTCATACAGTGAAGGCCAAATTGTACGCTCCCAACTCTCTGATGTCGTCATGCGACGTTGGCCTTCACTCTTTGAAGTCCCGACAAACCCCAATGAACTCGCATAAGGTGAATATAAATCCTTACGATTATATGACACTATATATCTGTAAAGATATACACATTTTCATTTAGTTCTTGTGATTTCATATTTCAACTGACAGACATACAACCACGTGTACTATCTGACTGCATCCTGTGCACTAGTTTCTCAATAGGAGAGGTGTTAGCGTAAGTATGCATAAGTTACTCTACACAAACAGTTTTTACATGACAAATAACTGACGCGGACTACGTCAGTAACAATAACACTGTGTCGTAATACTATATTCATCAGGTACTGGGCGTTAAAATATCTCACATGAATGTCACTGCCAGTCAAGACAAGAATGGAGTCGATTGCTCGGAAGTGTATTTTTTCGTTTTGTTGCTTTGTGGTAGCGAGGATATTCCAGAACGAGCATCAGACACTCTGGCTTCGCCCAATGTATGCTAAAAGACTGAGATATGAAGTAAAGGCCCGATCTGAAACAGGGGATCTATGGTGACTATGTATTTATAAATCAGTGACAACTGTAGTGACAATGAGCTCCGCGAATGGCCTAGCGCTGTGAGGAGCTTGGGGGTATCGAATCAATGCTAAAGCTGGTCCCTGGCTTCCTTTGCGCGCGCCAACTTGCGGCTGCTTGCGATACGCGAAACGGGGCCCAGTTTAATGAGGCTCGTAATGATACAAGGTACTTTCCTCAATACTAATTACTAGTATTCTCACTTATCAGTGTTTTAAACAAAATTTGTTACTGATTTCAATACGTTAAGTTTGTTAAAATCGCGATATTATTAGCTATGTATTGTTTAATTATATTTACGTTTCAAAGATACGTTTGCGGTCACCAATCTGTACCTTGAGTTTTTCAAATCACAGTTGTTGTTAGAGGCTATAATCTATAGGAAAGCGTCGTCGACAACGAACAAGAAGTCTCCCAAATAAATGTCTTCAGCATCAAGGCAAAGTTAAATGAATGAAACATATGAGGCGAAGTCATGCCCCCGATGACAGAGGACACGTACGGCTCACGTGTGGAGAAATGGACCATGAAAGAAATGCAGCTGAACAGACTTCATGAGGAAATGTAAGGGCCGGTACTTTTGTTGTGGTCAAAAGGGAAGTTCACATTCAAAACACCAAATCTGCACGACAGACACTCTCATTAGAGTCTCTAATGTTTATTTGTAATGAAAGTTTGTTTTGGCAGAGATGACATATGTATGTACGAGTATTACCCTTTTGTAAACTTCTAGAAAGTGAATACCTGAAACGACTAGCCAACTCATCAGTTGGGAGAGGATTATTGTAGACATTGTATGTTTGTGGGTGAGTCTTCGTTAAACTGTCATATGTTGCCGTCCTCTACTCACCTTTTAAATAAACATGTAAAAAGATTTTCATCTCAGTTACATCCTACCCCATCCGCAACAAACACTGTTAAAACAAAAACAACAAAAATAGGTATTTCCAGAAAATGGATGCCAGTGTAAACGTCACTAAAGTAGAAGGGTGGTTTGAATATTAATCGATTTTGTGTCCTGTGAAACCTTTCAGTAGCACACTGGACTGAAGTTGCACAAAAACCTTCGGTACCTGTTTGTTGACTTAAAGGCTTACTGTATGCACCTTATATATCTGAGAACCTGCCCCATTCTGAAGATGTAGATCAAGTGATCTGATGACAGATCCATCTAAGAGTGAAGGAAGACAGAATCAGATCACCTCAACAATGTTGTTCTCTGTAGCAAAAGTTTGAATTTCTGCTGTCAAGTTATAATATTGTTAGCATGGTATGCTTAATCGATTGTATGTGAACTGACCTATTAAATCTGTCATAACCATACTGTCTCTTCTTATTTTTTCTACATTGTTGACATATAATTCATTATACAATACATCAGTTCCGGATACTGGTTAGCTGGACTTGGCCCATTGCCACTTTTGACAAAAGCTGATGCCACTCAGTAATACCATCATGACATCACTGATTTGTGTTTTTTGTATGATATGTGTGGAATAAGTGCTTTACATCATGATGAATGCTCATGAGCTGGTTTGCATTGGCTCACATTTTCACATTTATCATGTAAATATAATTCACCATGTTCATCACTTGAGTTTTTTTTTTATATGGGCAACACCAACCATGACCTGATTAACTTAGCTGAAACTTATTGTTTTTGTTGACAGCATTGCTAAAAGAGAGTCTCTCCTGCACTCAGCTGGTGCCTACCTCCGGCAGCAGGTTGACAAGAGGGGCCCTGCTCCATCTAACACTCAGACCATAGATGAGATCACAGTGAGGAATGAACGTCTGATAAAGGTCAGGGCATACATATCTGCATATGTCATAAAATCAATTATTAAAAATTTCAAAACCCAGGTGTATGATAACTATGTACATACTTACACATTTTCCCTTTTCCAGCTTGTGTTCCCAAATGTCTCATACATACAGTGGAAGCCCTCTCAACCGGCAGTCGTTGGGAAGGACAAAAAATGCTGGTATAGAGGGTGTGCCGGTTTAGAGAACTTTCCCTTTTCAACCTGAGAACGATCTTCCGTATGTCGTAAAATACGAGTTAAACAACGTGTTGATAGTAATCATATTCGACGCTCACTTTGAACTGTTTGATGTCGTATTGTGTCTTCCAACGTGCCTGCCATCCATATGAGGCATTAAACTTGTTGACATTTAATTCTGAAGCAAACTGAATAGCTTTCTCTTTCAAAATAGGACCAGAAATGGGCATGTTTTTACAGCAGGCAGTCGAAAAACAATCATGCCGGTTTAGAGAGAGTTAATTACTGTACAAACAGTCAATTGGGCGGTCTTTGTTGTGTCGAAATATGAAATAGACTGACACCGGATTAGAGGGCGTGTAAATAATCATAAATGAACTAGCTTCTGTTGGGACCAAATTCTAGTGTCGATATTGAGAGCATGCCGGATTGGAGGGCTGCTGGTTTAGAGGGCTTCCACTGTATGTATTTACTGATTAAAAGCAGACATTATGCATGCATGAAATGTACAGCAAGGAAGGCACAAAAGTGCTATGTTTGCATATGGTAACATGGGCTGGTAGAAGTGTTCGCAGCTTCTAGTACAGAAAACACTTAAGAATCAGATTCAATGTACAGCATATGACTCTCGGTTATTGATCAAAGAGATCTGTTCACTGGTTTAAACATTACGAACAGACAGGACTAGAATGCCCAGGGAGAACTGTCCGAAACCAGCTCAAAAGATGTCGGTAAATATTATTGCTCACAAAGATATACGAAACCCTGAATGTCTTGGAAGGTGCCACCCTCCTCTGTTTAAAAGTGTAAAAGAGTAATACACCTATTTCTCCTCACTGACAGAAGCCTTCACAACACAGACCATTTATCACCTCTAGCAGATGACTAATATGGCATTTCAGTGTTGAAAAAACCCCTGCCCTTTTTAAAGTATTTGTTTGTCTGTAGTTATGATATGAAACTTAAACAAAACCTTAGCTTTACTTGTTTCGTATTTGACAAAAATACGAAACTAGTAAAATTACTCTTACTCTGTCTTCTTGTTTGTATTTAGTTAATGTGATTATGATAATCATAATTATGTTTATTATTTACCCTGCTACAACTCTGCTAAGATGTATGGTATTAACTTAATTTAAATTAGACAAACATTTGAATTTGAATTGTATTTTTTTATTTTATTGTGAGGCCAGACCAATTTTATTTCTTGTTTTACAGATTTTTGTCCTCCGAAAACCTAAAGGCAGGAGGGAAAAAAATAAAAAATAACAATCAATAGTCAAAGTATTATTCCTTTTGCATATTAAAAGTATTTTTTTTATTTTGGCAAGTTATGAAGTGTATATGGGGCAAAAAAAACAATAAAAAATTTTTTTTTGTAAGTTGTAAAATAAAATCCTCATGTTTTTATTGGCAAGAATGTAATTTTATTTTTTTTTGTAAGTTGTAAAATAAAATCCTCATAGTTTTTATTGGCAAAGAATGTAATTCTTGCCAATAAAAACATGAGGATTTTATTTTTTGAGCGGGGAAAATTAATTTTTTTTTTTTTTCTTATTATTGAAAAAATACAACCGGCGGATCCGTAAAACTGACTATAAAATGAGTATAAAACAATGTAGGTGTCTTTATTATTCTCCAAGACTTTGTGAAAAGAAGGATTTAATGACGAAAACATATTTCAGTTTTGTTAACCTGGTTTTTCTAAATATCCAGATCATTTAACACAAATGCCCTATTCATCCATTTCCTAGATTCCACATTAGTCTACATTTGAATATACAAAGTAATTTCTCTTGGTCACAAGAGAAATGTCTGCTCTTTGGATTAGTGGTGCTCTGATTAAGTGAAATAATCAAAGATCGATCGCAGTGACTAAACAACCAACCAGTCAATCATGCTTTCTCAATGTACGACACAAACGATTTTGTACTCAAAATATTTGTCCCAAGGTTGTTTTTGTCTGTCATTAAATGAACATTTCATAAGCACTACCAGCTCATTCCAAGTCATGATTGAATTTTTCTTAAAGACCCCAGGATGTTTTTGTTCCTAACATATTAGTCATCGGGAATTTAAAGATGCAAGTTGCATCATTTAAAGTTGAAAACAAAATTTGCAAATGCATTTTGTGCAATTTGCAAATAAAAAAAAAGAACTAAGAACAACCATCACAGGAAACTTTGATATATGATGCTTATCAGCTATTTTTATGATTGTAATGAAGCATCAATTGCCTCTCAAGAACCTCATCAATTATGAGATTTCAACCAATTCCCAACACTACTGTGGATGTGGGTCAAGATATTCAAAACAGTTTTAGTTTAATCTTTACAACTTATTCTCAATGGTAAGATTTGTCTGATGGCAGCAATTCCTGTTTGTGACAGCTCCTTTAGGGATTATGAGTAAATAGCTTGATGTATGGATGTTATTACATGGTGATAGTTCCAAGGAGTTGTGACTATGTTGCTTTGGATTTGTTTATCATGGTTTTAATTAAGGTGAAATCATATATCATATTAGCTGTCTGCAAATATAAATTAAAAATCATTGTTATTTTAGTAAAACTTCATCCTTAGTGTGTTTTATCAAACAATATTTAATATTTCCTATTGACGGTGAATTAACATACATATTATTCAAGAATATTATGAATAGATGAGTATTATGTAGAATGAGAACAGAAACAGAAATTCTGTGTTGACAGGATCTACGTGACACGGAATGGAGACTGGCACAGGAAGCAGGGAAGCCTCCAGACACAAAATTCCTCACTCTACAGGTACAGACAATTTAGTTCCTCATTCTACAGGTACACACAATCTAGTTTCTCAATTTACAGGTACAGACAATCTAGTTCCTCACTCTATCGGTAAACACAAACAAGTTTCTCAATTTACAGGTACAGACAATCTAGTTCCTCACTCTACAGGTACACACACACAAGTTTCTCAATTTACAGGTACAGACAATCTAGTTTCTCACTCTGTGGGTACAGAAAATTTAGTTTCTCACTCTACAGGTACAGACAATCTATTTTCTCACTCTACAGGTACAGCCAATCTAGCTTCTCACTCTACAGGTACAGCCAATCTAATTCTTCATTCTTCAGGTACAGACAATCTATTTCCTCACTCTACAGGTACAGACAATCTAGTTTGTCACCGAGAGGTACAGACAATCTAGTTCTTCACTCTACAGGTACAGAAAATCTAGTTCCTCACTCTACAGGTACAGACAATCTAGTTTCTCACTCTACAGGTACAGACAATCTAGTTTCTCAATTTACAGGTACAGACAATCTAGTTCCTCATTCTTTAGGTACAGACAATCTAGTTCCTCATTTTTCAGGTACAGACAGTCTAGTTCCTCATTTTTCAGGTACAGACAGTTTAGTTCCTCATTCTTCAGGTACAGACAATCTAGTACCTTACTCTACAGGTACAGGCAATCTAGTTCCTCATTCTTCAGGTACAGACAAGTTAGTTTCTCAATTTGCAGGTACAGACAGTCTAGTTCTCCACTAGGCACTACAGTCTCTCATTACCCAGGCGCAAACAGTCTACAATCTGTAGGAATTTATTTTTTAACAGTATGGGGTAAAAATCTTGATGTAATTGATTTATTTCAGTTTAAGTATGGTTAACTAACTGTCTAAGCTTGGTGTTGCAGAGTAACTACTGGTCAATGATAAGGAGCATGGAGCCACTATGGAAGGAGGGCATGGCACAGGCAGGTGTGAGGCCTCCCACATAGTGGCAGACACCATATCTGTCATAACTGCCAACGATATGTCTACATTAGCAAGAGGTGTATTAAGAAGATAAAAGACAAAAGAGTGTGGCCTATCAACACATTGTTCATGGAGACATAATCTGCCATACAGGCCTGGAAACAGAAATGTCCAATACATCCTAAGAAAGTTTAAAATTGTTTCGAAGTCAACAACAGAGCATAAAGTGTCCCTAAGCCCCCTTTCCTTTCAGATACCACCTGTCAGTAGACATTGAGAACACTGAAGTGGATATACAAGTAGTCCCACTGACCGATGTGTCTTTGGGTATAATGTATATAGACGCAAATCACACTTCGGCACAGTGATGACTTAACATAACATCACTGCCACAGGCTAATTTGCATATCATTAGCCTGTGGCACTTTTCTCTTGTTTGTAATCAAACGCGCATATTCATAATAAGAAGAGACTGGACTCACGAAAGCTTTTCGGCGCTCTCTTTATAATGCTTTACATTGTTACATATATATTCTTCCACAACTGCGACAGTTAGGTCTATAAAAGTACATATTTAGATATCAAACTAGCTGCATCGTTTGCTCTCCGTCGGCTTCGATGACAGCACGTGGAGCCGTACAACCTATGTAAACAAAGGATCGCTACGCAAATCGAAATAGTGTTACATGGTTTTGGATATTTTGTCAGTGAAACTAAACCATTCTATTAAAGCTGTTTAGTTAGATGTGTAGACTCGTCAAAAATAAAAGAGTAAAAGAAATCTGTACATTATATGAATGAACATTGCAAGATGTGACGAATCGTCACATTTTTCTGGCCTGTGGCAGAGGTACTATGCTGGCTTGCCGCATGGAACTCTGGGTAGGAGAGTGGACGCAAATCTCTTCAAGTACAAGCATAGGTGCTAGTCTTTGTAGCAGAGTTGTGTTATAACCATTTGTGTTCTTTTCACACCTAGAAATACATAGTAACATGATTCACATAAAAGTATAACGAATACACATGATATAATACCAATACATCTGACATGCCAGACATATATACAGACCACATACATACATACAGCTGAGTGTATGTATAACTGTCATGAGAATATCAGACAGATATAGGGGAGATGCATATCAATGTCAAATGAACACATTTACTGCATGTAAAATCACAAACAGTCGACCTACCTAATAATATATCATTACATATAAAAATACCGGAAGTATGGCCTCTAGATGTAGGTTATATATCTTCCGCCCCTACATGTTCAGGGCCAATCAGTGTATTATCATTATACCAACAAACACGGAAACATAATAATACTAAATGTACAATGAAACTAGCTTCCCTACTAAATACTCTTAAGTGTGAGGACCACATTTGTGCCACATTGAATACATATCTATAGATCTAAACATTGGGCACTCATTAACCACAACAAAATGCCAGATATCCTAGCACTGTCATAAATGTTCACACACTTACAGTTACGTTTACACATTTACAGTTAGTTACATTTACCATATGCATGATAAAAGCTTCATAAACATATTCCAAAAATTGCCTGTCCCCCAGAATAAGCCATCAACTTAATCTCACACTGAATGGAGAATATAGTATTTAGCCTACATCTGTTTTATATTTTGTTATGTATGAAAAAACATATTTATATGTATATTTATGTATCTAGTTGTATACCTTGACAGTAAAATATTTTGTAAATGCATCAACTTGTCAGTGGCTTGTTAGTGTACTGATGGCTAGGGGTGGTGGGGTAGCCTAGTGGTTAAAGTGTGCGCTCGACATGCCCAGGATCCGGGTTTGATTCCCCACATGGGTGCAATGTGTGAAGCCCATTTCTGGTGTCCCCCGTGGTAATATTGCTGGAATATTGCTAAAAGCGATGTAAAACTAAACTCACTCACTCACTCAAATACTAATAACTAAATGCTAATCTCATATTAAAACTAATGTCATTTACTAAATGCAGATATTAATATTGATACTAAATCTCCAATGTGCTCACTTTTGTTCAGGTGACACAATCACACATCTGTGACTGCCACACAAAGTCTTTTCACAGAAGGTTTGCTGTTTTTACTGTTACAGTTATACTTTATAAGATAAATCAACACTTGATGATAAATGTTGAAAACCATCCCTGAAAAACTTGGCATATTATGCAATATTTCATTGGTTCATGTACAGGATAATCCTCCTGAATAGATGTGCCCACTTTACTGAGTAATCCCTGTTAACCAAAGTGACCAAATTTCAGTGGAAAGGAAGCCAGCAATTGCTGTGTATTACCCAATCAATGTCCAGCTTACATTTCACAAACAGCAACGTTAGTCATGTGTCGTGAACTTTGCTTGTACAGACACATTGACTGAGGTAAGAGAACAGACATTATTTAAGATGTGGCCAGTTGTGAATCAGTTTGACTGAACAGAACACATACAGAATGTGATACGAGTTGAGTTGTGATTCTGTCATGTAGACATTAAATAGAAACGCTGTCATTATGTGCAGTCAGTGATGTAACATGGGACCATGTTTTGACTGTGTTTGAGGACTATTTTAAAGATTGAGACTGATTCTGTTGTTGGTCATTTCCAGCCTAGCTATAAATCATGTACCATGTGAAGGAATCACTCTGAAGAGCAACTGCTAATATAAATATATATTTCATGTCAAATGGTGACTTCTCTGTAGATTTTTTGTATTTTTTTCCATCTATACAGGAGAGACACATCTCTCCAAATATTAGTTCCAATCGTAAAACTAGATGCATAGAAAGTGTATTTGGCCACTTGACACAGTTTCAGTGTTGTTAGGTGTGAATATTCTATGGCAGCATGCCACCCAGTGGATGTGGGTATGGGTGGCCATGCTGTCCACTACAGTTCACTTGACATAGCTAGAAGTAATATGCATGCATTGATCCAGTGATTAAATCCATACTTGGGATCATGGATTAAGGATCACAATCATGTAATGGATCCCAGTTGTCCAGACATAAAACCTTCTTCAGTCATGTCTTTACCAGAATAGACTGATACTATGTGAACATGGCACTAAACGATCTTTATACATGGACGTTAAAACGTTTAAGAAAATGTTTGCCATCTGAAGAACATGAAGAGTTTCTACAAATTTAATACCGGACCGTGGCCGAGTTACAGTTTGTGCAATTTCTCTGGAAAACGTTTTCTCTGTTCCGCCAGATCGGGTTCATGGTGTAAGGGAAATAACTTTTGCTGGCTTATTGACTTCATATCCACCTAAAAGATGTGTAAAATCCCCTAAGACCTCTGCGAGAAGAATTGTGTGTCCGCTACAGCACCCTGAACTTAGCAGGCTGGTTCTATGACGGGGCAGTTGGGTAGTTTAGTGGCTAAAGCGTTCGCTGGTCACGCCGAAGACCCGGGTTCGATTCCCTACATGGGTACAATGTGTGAAGCCCATTCCCAGATAGCATTCAGACGTTGGCCCAACGTTGGCAATGGTTTTGCCAACATTGCCAACGTTGGGCCAACCTCCGAATGCTATCTGGGTTACTGGTATCCCCGCCGTGCTATTGCTGGAATAATGCTAATAGCGGCGTAAAACTAAATTCACTCACTCTATGATGAAACATGTTTGGTTGAGGTATTTTAGAGGTACTAGTATATATATAGTACATCTCAAAACAATGAAACTTATTGGTTGAAGTACAAATGTTTATCGTGTGGCAGTTACCAGTAACAGATTAACAGGGAGGAAAACATGGCTGTCAATGTAAAGTTTTGTTTGTTGTCCATCATCGGACTGAGCAACATTCTAGCAAGCAAGTCATCAGGCCTAATGACTTATTTGATCGTGAAGATATAGTTGTTTTTCTTGATCTCATGTTTGAAAGATATGTAATAAATCTGATATTATTTGTAACACAGTTTAGCTTTCTTTCTGATGTTGTTGTTTTTTCTTTTAGGTTTTATAAATTCATATTTATTTGTCGTCTGTGAAACAGTTTGCCAATATTGACCATCAGTGTTTGACCAGGGCCTACCTCATCTGGGAGGTTGGTGGTGACAGTGTATGTTCAACCTGACAACATCTGGAAGGGCGGTGAAAGGGAAATCTCGGGATATATTGTCTGGAAGCAATCAGGATAAAACACAACTTGTACATATATTGCATTGCTTTCTAAACGTGAAAACGGGTGAAATGAAAGGTTCATGGCCGGGAAGGCTAAAATCGCGACGCTTCTCGGTACTTGCAATGCAATGTTATGGCTGAATGAACACGGCGCTCCTCACTCGGAGGCTCTGACAAATTACAAAGAAAACAGGATTAACGTGGACGCTCTTTCATCTGGGCACACATACAAATATAAATACAGTTATTTACTCATTTTCATGTCTATTCTTCATTATGCATTGTCTTTAATTCGACATTAAATTATCATTTTCCATGGAAAAACACATTTCTGTCAATCTACTTAACTGCAACTTAAATATAACATTATAGCAATGTTTTGAAAAGAAATTCTTATGAAAATGTATTCCAAGGTAAGTATAAGTATCAGACATGCTCAAAGGTAAATCACCAAGATAATGTTTTTGAAAATGAACCATGCAGTTCCAAAGCCAAATACGACTACTTTAGTCTTTTCGATATTTAATATTAACTTTCACTTTAGACAATATTAATACTATGCTGTAACTCATCCGGACTTTCAGCAAATGAGACCATGTCATCAGCATACAGTACAAAAATCTCAACAAATCCAAATATATCATCAAATTCTACTCCATCAAAGACATTAGTCACTAGATATGATTCAATGTCATTAATAAACAGTGAAAAAAGGAGAGGCGATAAATTTTCCCATGGCGTACACCTTTACAACAGTCAAAATAGGTAGAGTCATTTCCACCTGTTGAAACACTTGGTATTATCATAATTATTATAAATAACCTTTAAAATTTACTCAGTAATTCAGTGTTCAACAATTTTTTGCAAAAGTCTCACACGCCAGACTTTATCAAAGGCTTTTTGAAAGTCTATAAAAACACTATATAACTTTTTCTTCTTAGATTTAAGTGTATCAATTAATCCATTAAAAACAAAAATATTATCTAAAGTAGAGTACAACCTTTCGGTAACCCGAACCGTAAACAAGTGAAGATTATAACAATGATTTGAAAAGAAATCTATCTCCTCATGGATTGTGCCTAGTGACTATTATTCTAATGTTTTTTTATGATTAAACACATCTGAAATACAATCGCCACTTAAATAAAGTTCTAACGTTTCAAAAATAAATGGCGATACTGGCTTAGCCAGAAGCC